AGAGATAGAGAGAGAGAGAGAGAGAGAGAGAGAGAGAGAGAGAGAGAGAGAGAGAGAGAGAGAGAGAGAGAGAGAGAGAGAGAGAGAGAGAGAGAGAGAGAGAGAGAGATAACCAAACTGTCCCACGAAAATTTCCATTAATATTTGAGTCGCAGTAAATGAGAGGACTTTGTGAGAGCTCTCTCCCTCACTCTCGCTCTCCCTGCCTTGTCTGTGTGTTCTGCCCACGTCTCTCTTCTTCTCTTTCTTTCTCTTCTCTTTCTCTCTCTCTCTCTCTCTCTCTCTCTCTCTCTCTCTCTCTCTCTCTCTCTCTCTCTCTCTCTCTCTCTCTCTCTCTCTCTCTCTCTCTCTCTCTCTCTCTCTCTCTCTCTCTCTCTCTCTCTCTCTCTCTCTCTCTCTCTCTCTCTCTCTCTCTCTCTCTCTCTCTCTCTCTCTCCCCCTTCATAACTTCCCCCCATTTTTTCCTTACCTCCTTACTCTCTCTCTCTCTCTCTCTCTCTCTCTCTCTCTCTCTCTCTCTCTCTCTCTCTCTCTCTCTCTCTCTCTCTCTCTCTCTCTCTCTCTCTTCCCCTTTCCCCCTCCCCGTGTCTCCACCATCAGCCCTGCACGACAAACGGCACCAGAGCCATTAACAGGCTGCAGCAAACGGGGCAACAGGAATATTAGTGAATAAAAACATGACTCGAGTCAACAGGAAGGTCCTGGGGAGGAGGGGGGGAGGGGGGAGGGGGGGGGCGCAGACAGGCGCGCCTGCTTCTTTAATTGGATGGTAAAAAATGCAGCGTTTGCGCAGAGTCTGCCCTTAAGGGGGGCAAGAGGCGTAGAGATGGAGGGAGAGACGTAGAAATGGAGGGAGAAATATAAAAAGGAAGATTATATATATATATATATATATATATATATATATATATATATATATATATATATATATATATATATATATATATATATATATATATATATCGTACCTAATAGCCAGAACCGTACTACTTGGCCTAGTCGGCAAGGCCAAAGAGTGCCTTGCTTACTAGGCCAAGTAAGTAAGTGATATAACGGAAATTACTCCGTTATTTTCAAATATTTCTTTCCTAATAACATTACTATATTAATAAATTTGGGACGTGAATTTCTGACTTAGTTATGTAAGGTTGGGTTATGTAGGATAGTTTGATCAAATTTCTCTATGTTAGTTCTGACTCAAATTTAAACCAATCTAATTATATATAATGAAATGGGAAGGTTTAATATTCTATGTTTTTTTTTATATCTAGTTCCAATATGGAGTCCATATCTCGACAAGCAACAGACTAAATTGGAGAAGGTTTAGAGATTTGCCACCAGAATAGTACCCGAACTGAGGGGTATGAGCTGCGAGGAGAGACAACGGGAATTAAACCTCACGTTGTTGGTAGACAGAAGAGTTAGGGGGGACATGATCACCACATACAAGATTCTCAAAGGAATTAGTGTAGATAAAGACGTGTTTATTTAATACAAGGGGCGCACACACTCGGGGGACACAGGTGAAAATTGAGTGCCCAAATGAGCCATAGACATTAGAAAGAATTTGCTTAGTGTCAGAGTAGTTACTAATTGGAATGCATTAGGCAATGATGTGGTGGAGGCTGACTCCATACACAGTTTTAAATGTAGATATGATAGAGCCCAGTAGGCTCAGGAACCTGTACACCAGTTGATTGACAGTTGAGAGGCGGGACCAAAGAGCCAGAGCTCAACCCCCGCAAGCACAACTAGGCGAGTTCAACTAGGTGAGTACACACACACACACATACACATACACACACACACACACACACACACACACACACACACACACACACACACACACACACACACACACACACACACACACACACACACACACACACAAGATTCTCAGGGGAACTGATAGGATAGATAAGAACAATTTATCTAACACAAGGGGCACACACACTCGGGGGACACAGGTGGAAATTGAGTGCCCAAATGAGCCATATACACTAGAAATCATTTGTTTAGTGTCAGAGTAGTTAACAGATGAAATGCATTAGGCAGTGATGTGGTGGAGGCTGACTCCATACACAGTTTCAAATGTAAATATGATAAGAGCCCAATAATAATAATAATAATTTATTTGCAAGAAGGTACAATGGGTTGGTAGGATTACATAAGAATGACATTTTTTCCTTCATGTAAAGCCACTAACACGCATAGCGTTTCGGACAGGTCCTTAATCTAGCATATTACGTAAGATGAAAAGGTACATGGTAGGAAGATTTTATATCAACAAATATCTACAACATCAGTTAACAGAGGTGATTACACAGGTAAGGATATATATGTGTTAAGTACTAATATTGAGGGGAAGTGGGTAGTACAAGATACAGTGTGAGTTTGAAGCACAAGGTAGGAAACTATGAGATTAGGTACCTTGTTAGTTTTACTTCTGAATAGGGGCATGGATTGGACAATTGTTTAATTCATCAGGGAGTGAGTTCCAATGACTGGGCCCTTTTACTTGCATGGAGTGTTGGCACAGATTTAGTCTGGGGGGATATAAAGATATATTTATTTCTGGTGCGGTGCTCATGGGTTCTATTACATCTCTCACTGGAATATGTTCACCAGATGATTGACAATTGAGAGGCGGCACCAAAGAGCCGGAGCTCAACCCCCTGCAAGCACAACTAGATGAGTATACACACCATACAGGCACAAGTGGGTAAGAGATGAGACATAGATGAATGAAGGGGTGAGAGTGAAGGAACAGTGCCCAACCATTTAGGTACATACCTACTGCTCTAATCCACCAATGAGAATGAAGTGCAACATTAATCAGTCCCATCGATTGCGTATAACAATAATAATAATAATAATACCATTTGTTATTATTATTATTTTTATTGTTATCAACACTTCTGCGGAAATAAACATTTCATTCACCTGGGCTCTAGGAGGCTTGAGCCGCGGACCCCACACGTGTCTATACACAACCACAGCCCGTCCTCCAGAGCCAAAAGTGTCTTTCAGACCACAGCCCGTCCTCCAAACAGAGCCAAAAGTGATTCCATCCACCCGAACCAAACACCAGCTGTTTATGAATGAATAAACGGTTACACACGTGACTCACAATTGATTTCGTCCGAACATTTCCGGAACAAGTGCTTCACTGACGAATTTTGTTCGAACCACAACGCTGTAAATGCTTCACCCACGTACTACAAATACAAATAATCGCCAACAGAACCTAAACACCTAACCTAACCTAACGTATGCATATATATGCACAATATGCTAATATATTATAATATTAATTTATATTTTAGAAAATTCCCGCTTTGAATGAACAGCATGTAAAAGTTTATGAATGCGTCCGTGGGGTCGACCGCTGGATGGAATGGACTTGAGTCCAGGACGGGTTGCTTGTCGATAGAATTTCGGCCTGAGACATGTTAGGTCCGCGGTTCGAGCCCAGGTGAATGAAATTATTATCATTATTTACATTGGGTTAATAATAACAATATTTATAGTTTATACAAAAATTCAAAACCTTCATAGAAAATGAAATCTTTTTTTTTACAGAAAACGTAATAAAATTGACGATACACATATCTAAAACGTCATTCCTGCTTGATTTTTTATATATACAAGAGTTCTTACGTTCTTGTTCAGCCACTAACACGAATAGCGTTTCGGGCAAGTCCTTAATCCTAATTTACACACACACACACGTCTTTGTGTGTACGTCTGATACCATACTACTTGTGTAAAGGAGGAAATGTAGATGAAATGTAGATGTAGATGCCCGAAACGCTTTGCGTAATAGTGGCTTTAGGCATTGTATGTACTAGCTATACCTATAAGTTAAACAATCCTTGTAAATATTTATTGTATGTATGTACCTTACCTAAATAAAATTGTATTGTATTGTATGTTTATCTCTCAGAATGTTTGGTAATATGTTTATTTTTTTTTGAGATATATACAAGAGTTGTTACATTCTTGTACAGCCACTAGTACGCGTAGCGTTTCGAGCAGGTCCCTGGAATACGATCCCCTGCCGCGAAGAATCGTTTTTTCATCCAAGTACACATTTTACTGTTGCATTAAACAGAGGCTACAGTTAAGGAATTGCGCCCAGTAAATCCTCCCCGGCCAGGATACGAACCCATGACATAGCGCTCGCGGAACGCCAGGCGAGTGTCTTACCACTACACCACGGAGACTGTAAGTTTGTGATGTGTGTATATGTATGTATTAACACGATGTACTGAACGGGGTGAGAATAGCTTGAGCTATCTCATCCCTTTGTGTGTATTTTACATCAATAAACTTATTTCAATTTCACACACACATCCTCAGGAAGCAGCCCGTAGCAGTTGTCTAACTCCCAGGTACCTATTTACTGCTAGGTAACAGATTTTTTTTTGTCGGGGACAGGCAGCCTGTGTGTATACAATAAATAGTCTTACAACGAGATAAGTGGCGTTGCCCAATAAACTTTCCCCTCGGGACAAAATTTACAACGGGCAAGGTCGAACTACTGACCCTCCCCAGGATGCTACAAGCTGACGAACCCCTGCGTACCTATTTAACTGCTAGGTGAACAGAAGCATTAGGTGATAGGAAACGCACCCAACCCTTTCTGTCCGGCCCGGGATTCAAACCTGGAATTCCAGAGTGTGAGTCGAGAACGAACCCTAATGTACCGTCCATGCCCGGCCTATATTTTCCATTTGGTATAAATAATTTCCTCTAAAATACTATATTCTTGTTACATGACTTATATGTGATTTCCGTCTACCGTGATAAGACTGGTATTTCCAGTTATGATACTAGGAAAAAAAAAAGAGTGCCACCTTCATATCCATGATTATAGCTATGCCATCTATCGATACCGAAAATAGTTCAAAATCTTATGAAAAACAACCTATCATAATTGAGTTAAAAGCTTCAAAGGGTCAAAGGCTGGTGTGAGTTAAGGAGTTGGAATGGGTGCCAGGGCCGCCGTCCATCGAGCGGATTGTATGGTTCGTGCGTCTATACTCTGAATCGAAGACCACAGCAGCGTAGCAGACGCCTCGCAGGGCCGCGCCTAGCAGAGATGGTGTGGGGATTTGTAACGTGTGGGCCTAATGAGGCCCTTGTCATATCAGGTGAGAGTTTAGCCCAAGGCCCTAGGGTAGGAACTAGCAAGTTGACTGTCGCGGTTACACGGCGCTGCGGGATAACTAGAGGAAACTACGCTCTAAAGAACCTGCCTTGACAACCAAACCCAAAACATTGTCCTAACAAGCAAGTATAACCTGATCTACAAAAATAATACATTTGTGCTTTTTTTTTTAATGTTTTGCGAGGTGTGTGTGTAAGTGTGTCATCAGTGATGTATTACGGTTGCCTCTAATATCTGCCGGAGACACTTGGGGTTTATTCTATTGCAAACCTTCCTCCTGTTTAGATAGTACAGTACCTATTTATTTATTTATTTATTTATATATATACAAGAAGGTACATTGGGATTGAGGATACATAGCATAGTAATTACAATCTTATAAAGCCACTAGTACGCGCAGCATTTCGGGCAGGAAACCTGGCCGGAAACCTAAGCATTGTGACCATCGTCAGTAGTCAATATTTGTACGTTCTTAACTTTTAGATAGTAGTATACTGACTAGTAAGTAATTTTTTAAAAATAAATGAAGCTAAAACACAAATATTCCTAGACCTAGTATAGCGCACATATGTACTCTATTAAGCCTCGGATATCATGTATCAGGCCTAGGGAGGTTAGGATAGGTTAGTTTAGTTTGTCACACACAAGTAAAAATTTGTTTTCCAGTTTGTCCAACTCAGTGGTTCAGATTTCTACATTATAATCTCGTTGTACGTCGGTATGTATATACTGTGGTCCTCATCATTGCTATAAGTATTACCAAAACAGGAGGATGGGCTGTCTATTTTCAGGATCATCGGTTTATCGGATTTGCAATTTGTTCTGTTATGAAAGATTGGACTAAACTGCATGTTACCAAGCTATCAAGATCAAGATGCATTTTCTTGTGCAGGTATTCACTTGTTTATTTATTATTAAGATTTGTATTGATATGTCAACAAATAAATTTATTGGACTATATATAAAAGCAAACTTTTTTTCATGGGAGGGGGGTGGGGCTTGTGTACTAAGGTTCAACACAGTAGGTGTTGAAACCTTAGTTAATATCCTTTTCTTAACTAATCATCATCAGTGACATCACACGATTGACAGACCTGCTTTTATGCCATTTTCAGGTCGCTTATTTTAAGTTATTCTACATTAGGTTGTATCTGAAGGCTCCAGGAGGAGGAAGGTGGGTGGACATGGTGAGTAGAAGTGGTTTGTAAATTACCTGCAATGGGGTTCTGGGAGTTCTTCTACTCTCCAAGCCAGGCCCGAGGCCAGGCTTGACTTGCGAGAGCTTGGTCCAACAGGTTGTAGCTTGGAGCGGCCCACAGGCCCATATATCCACCACAGCCTGGTTGGTCCGGCACTTTTTGAAGAAAACCATCTAGTTTTATCTTGATGTCCACGGTTGTTCCGGCAATATTTCTTATACTCGCTGGAAGAATGTTGAACAACCATGGACCTCTGATGTTTATACAGTGTTCTCTTATCGTGCCTATGGCACCCCTGCTCTTCACTGGCACTATTCTGCATTTTCTTCTTTATCGTTCGCTCCAGTATGTCGTTATTTTACTGTGTAGATATGGTACCTGGGCCTCCAGTATTTTCCCTGCGTATATTATCATATTTGATATCTCTCTCGTCTTCTTTCCAGTGAGTACATTTGTAGAGCTTTGAGATGATCCCAATAATTTAGGTGTTTTATCGCAGTTATGTATGCCAGAATGAATGTACTTGTAAGTAATGTTTATAACAATTCACAAGGTGTATAGTACAGCTGATTTAATGGAGTGTTGTGATACCTCTTATTCTTGATGATTTTGTATACAGTGTGAATGGTGTAACTAATGGATGGGCGATGTGTGTAATTATGCATAATTTTATGTTAATTATTAATTAACACAGACACCCGGTGTATTTGAAATTGAAATAAGTTTATTGAGGTAAAATACACACAAAGGGATGAGGTAGCTCAAGCTATTCTCACCCTGTTCAGTACGTGTATACTGATCTAAACCATTTCGGTCCTGCCTGGAATTCGACCCTGGAATTCCCAATTTGAGCCTAGAATGAACCCAACTTTACTAATATTTTCTTTGAGCTAATGCAACCATACCCTAATGATTATGTATAGTACTGTATCCCCTATCTTCAAGAAAGGCAGAACGAGTTCTGCACAAACCTATCAATCAGTCAACCTAACTTCACATACTGTACCTGCAAGCTTCAGAATCATAAGGAAGGAAATCATTCTCCATCTTGGTGTATGATCTTGTGAATTTGTAAAACAAAAAAGTCCTGTATCAGTAACCTGCTAACATTTTCTAGAAACAATAACCAACTACACACAAACATTCTTTAATGCTTTTGATAAGGGATTGCACAGAAGCTGCAAGCACTTACAGAAAAATACTAGAATGGATGAAATAATGGTTAAAGCGAAGAAAGCAAAGGGTCACCCTAAATGGAAGTGAATCTTGAAAAAAGTGAATAGATTTAGATTAAATAGTGATAGATCTACAAGATTTCACTTGGGCCTAACACTATTTGTAATAAATATTGACATGAGAATATCACAGACAACATAAAATTTGCAGATGACACAAAGATCTATGGAAAAGTGGCAAGTGAAAATTGCATTAAGGTCTTACAAGTATCATATCAGCAACACAGCCATGCAACAGATTGATGAAGGACCTAGAAGCAGAGTAAAAAAAAAAATAAAAAATAACCAAACCTTGGGTATAATCTAATGACCCTTTGACTGATAGGGAAAATAGTTGTTGTTCAGCTTTACGAATCTCTCGTGCATCATCACCTGGATTACTGTGTCTATGCATAGAGTCCTCACCTTCAAAATGTCATGGCATTTTTTTTATTATATTTATTTATTTTTTATTTATTTATATATACACTAGCATACATAGTGTTTTGGGCAGGTCTTCAATCCTAATTTTTCCTGGAATACGACCCCACCAAATCATTAAAATACCTGTACCAGATAACCATTCACTGCTGGGAGAACAGAGGCGTACAGTTAAGGATTGGCGCCTAGTCAATCATCCCCAGCCAGGATATGAACTCAGGCGAAATCGCTCACGAAACGCGGGGCGAGTGTTTTACCACTGTCCCATGGGGGACTTCCATTTTAATAAAATTCAACACAACAAAAATCATCCCACAACTAAATCAGCTGTCATATAAGGAAAAGTTGAGGGCCTCAGGACTAACATTACACAGCAGTAAGTGCAGTTGGGTCACAGCTGAAAGGTTCCAGATTTGAATCCTGCAGTAGGACAGAAATGTTTGAGCAATATTTCTTTCCACTTGATTCTTCTGTTCCCTGAGCAGTAAATAGGTAACCGGGAGTTGACCAACTGTTGTGGGTTGCCTCCTGAAAATCAATATTTGGCATAACCTTGATAAAATTAACACCATGATATCATCAAAACCCTTACAGTTTCAAACAGATTAGAAAATATTAATCCAGACTACTACTTTGTAAGGTTCAGTGTGACTCACCTAAGCGGCAACAGCTTTAAACTCGGCAAGTCACAATGTAGGACAGTAAACAGGATAGGCTTTTTTACCCATAGGAGGAGAAGCCCATGGAATTGCTTACCCACTGAAGCATAAATGCTAAGACAGTTTGAAATTAAACTGGAAAAAGTCATCAGGAATAATGGGGGGACCTTTGAAAATGGGATAAGATCAAACTTGCATGCCTGGACTCCCCAGGCACATGCACTACCATCTGAGCCATAATGTGCTTAAAAACTGTATCATCGTACCTGTATCATCTACACAATGTGTCCAGAGAAGTGAGTTTGATCCTTTTTACATTGCCTTAATATCTTACAGACACACCATGTTATTGAGATTTCATTGTTTTGTATATCTGTATACTCAACTCGTTAGTTTTTTCATGAGCACAGTTGAATTTTTTAACATTATTGTTTTTCAAGTTATTACTATGAAATTTGGTTTTTATGTGTATAGAGTATAGTACAGTAATTGATAATTTAAAAGGAGAACTTTGGTACTGACATCTTGCATTGGTGCAAAATCCAAGAAAATGAGTACATTTAAACTGAAGAATTGTCTAAATTTTTACCTCGAATATGAGTAGACCCGTTAACTGCAAAACCTGGGGTGTAGTGTACAAGTTATCCATGCATTCCATTGTTAATTTGCCTGTGTATTTTTCTTCATCAATCTCTCTTTTCAACTACTTTATGGGATAGAACCTGGTTTAGGTTTTCTTGATGTATGCAGTATATCAAATTGATGTTTTTCTCTACAGAATAAGTATTAGTTTCTGGTATTCAGTGGATTTTTACAATTTACAGTACAGTACTGTACAGTATGTCACATTAAAGTTATATAGATTACAGTGTTCATTCTTCTGCAATTTCTGTATTATATTGCTGTTTCAGTATTGAATATATATATACAGTAGTCTATTATTTGACACACACTGACAATCAGGTAAGAATGCATGCTCTAATTTCTGTGCAGTATACTGTATTCACAAACCTTAGGAGCTCATTTATTTACCATGTAATGCTCGGAAAAGAGCATTTAATGATAAAAATGTTCTCTTAATTAGATGATTGATTATCTAATTGCCATATCCTTGTTTTTGTGTGACAATAAACCCTTCAGTTATAGAAAGTCAAATGTATAAATTACTTGGATTGGATGGAGAATTAATTTTACACAGTTCAACATAATGATGCATAAATAGTAATAACTGTGATACTAGTTTTATTCATGTTTTTACAGGCTGAAAGTTGTTTTCAACCAAATTTTTAGACAACTTGAGTACCAATTTGGGGTTCTGCTTTAATTTTTTGTCTTTTTCCTGAAGTTTTGCAGGAGTTCCATATCCAATTGTATTCCAGTGTCTGGGTAGGAGACATAGCTCCCTAACATGTACCACGATGTTCCTTGATTGATAGATATTGCTGTTGCCTCTACTACTCATTCTCCAGGCCAGGAGCTTCTTCATCCTTGGATGTATGCTGTTTGTTGCTTTTGATCTCTGTTTTGACTGAATTGCTTTCTTGAATGCCATGCTATCAGATGGCACGTTTGTGAGATTACACTTTGAATTTCATGCTTCTGTAGTTCCTAGTTTCCATTAGTATGGAAACTTCAGAGTTCTGTTTTTAGGAGTGTGCCATGGGTGGCTGTACAGTTCCATCCTTTACCCCCAGCTTCGTACTTGGGCTTGAAGTTGGAATTCGATGCACTCTGAGCTCAAAATTTCCTCGGTATTCCCTCAGGCGCATTTCCAAATGCTAGTGTTTGCTTTGGCTTTTCAACTTGTACTGCCTTTCGCAGTTCTGTCTGCATTCCTTGCAGCCTAAACGGGATTTGTTGTTTCTGACAAGAAGCCAGGATTGCATTTTAGATAGGGGTTTTGGTCTGCTGCTGCTACCTGGCTGTTGTATTGAGGTGCTTGACTATCCCCTGACTAGCAGACAATCTCCATATTTTTTATTTACCTTGGGAAGTAAATTCTTTGTGACATTATTTTATCAGGTTCTTGAGTGGAAGGCTGTCTACCATATTTTCATTGTCTCTTCATCAGAGCGCTACTTTGAAGTAGTAAACAGGGTGTTGTGCCTGTCCTACAAAGATGGGTTATGGTAGCTTTATATCCAGTTTGCCTGGTTGATAATGACTTTAGTCTCTGTTCATCACAAGGGTCGGACGAGATTGGTGACAGTTCTCTTGTATTTATCCACTCGTGAATATTTGTGGATCATTGAAATTGGAACTGCCAAATGGATACACTATCATCATTAAATTCTTGCAGTTTCATATTTATTTCATCATGTGTAAGTGATGGTGTGGGTGCAGGCCACGTGGTGGTGCTGTGAACTGCGACTATATGTGCTACTCACGGTTGCTGTGTTAGTACCGAGGTTGTCACACCAAGGAGGGGTGCCCACAGTTTTGTTTTCAAGGATGGTGTCTATTTACTGGAAGCCTGAAGAAGTGAATGTAAACCTCATGTACCCATGGGAGTTTCAAATGTTGCACAGAACCTTAAAACATCCCTTGACATGATGTGCAGTAGAGGGGGTTAACCATTTAGTTTGGTGCGGAACTTCTTCACTGGGTTTACATTGTGTGTAAGGAAGGCTTGTTCTGCAACATTTTGCTAGTAAATAGTAACTGAAGGGTTTATTGCAGTTATGTAAGATTTGTTTCCTTATTAATTTTATGAAAAATTAACAGTAAATCATAGAATTAATCAAAAGTTTTTAACTGCTTAGGTGTGTATGTGTGCTAGAGAGGGGGATGGGTCATGTGTGTAGATTTTTAAATGGATTGCAGTGTGATGCTTGCAATTCCAGTTAGTATGGCAGTCTCTCAAGACCATCTTTGAGATTACTAAGGGTCTTACTGAACATTACAACACCCGTTTTCAGGATGTTGTTACCAAGGAAAGCCATTGACGGTAGTGGGAGGACGCGCATTTGTTTGGCCATGTATTCAGATGCTTCAAAGGTATTGATGGTACACTAGATTACTAGCAAGGGACTATGGGAGAGTCTGTGCCCCAAGGTGTAATTAAGGACAACTAAAACATCTTTATCCATTGCGAGTTTGAAAGAAGTTTTTTGTAGAAATAAGCTGTTGTTGATGTCTTGTCTGCTTCATGTTTTAATGTGTGGTTTACACTACTAGTTCAAGTAGAAGAGCAGAATTTTAAAAATCCTTGTACAGATTCTCCAAGGAGTTTCATCAGGTTTAGTACACCAAGTAACTGTAGTGCTTTGGCTACTCTATATTTTTCCTTTTTCTATTATTCTGTTCTTTCTATTCCTGGAATGCTCTTGTTGGCTTTTTTGGTTGTAGCTGCACTAGACGAACTTGCATCCATCCACAAGGCACAGATTAGATGGCAAACAGTTCATGTCAGTTCACTCATGTATCATAATAATGTTTGTATTATTATGATTATTATTACTAACACAAAAATCTTATTAGCGCGATATATATCAATTAGAAAATCCACTAGGGCTGTTAGGTGGTGCGAACCTACGACCAAGGAAATGGTGGTAGAGTTTGTGGCTGGCAATGCCTTGATCGTAGGTGCGTGCTGCCTCGCAGCCCTAGTGGATTTTCTCATTATTATTATTATTATTATTAAGAGAAACATCTTAAAACCATTCTTGTGGGACTTTTCACCTTTCCTGCACACATCTGTTATGTCTTGTGTGATACTGGGAAGCTGCAGATGTGTATTTGAAGAAGTTGCTTCATAAAGCCTGTGCTGACCGTGATGTGTCTTGGTTATCTGGGATTTATTTATTTATTGTGTTATCAAAATTGTATTTGTTATCAAGTCTAGTGAAGTTAAAGCCAGTAGCCATTAACGAATATTACTTGATGGTACTACAAATACTTGTACTATACAATCGTATTTAATGATTGGTGTAGACTTTTATCTCGACGCTATGACTGTACAGTACTGTGTACTGTAGGTACACTGTACAGTTGTGTGGTGTGGGAAATATATTAATAATCATTATTACTTTTATTGTATATTCATGTGCATAATGTACTGTAGTTTTTGTTTAGTTAATATATCTAGTAAGCTGGACATTCAAAATTTAAGCGGGATTCAGCTTCCTATGTCTCTTAATATTTGATATTTAATTTTATCCATAAAAAAATATAACATGGTTTTTCATGTCTTCAAAATTCTTTGATCCTGATCAAAATTAAATCCTCTTCTAGACCGTTTTGATTTGTTTGTGACTCGTTAATGTTTTTTTAAATAGAACCTTAAGATTTTACAGTATATTACATTTTCTCAAATATGTATTAATAATAATTTGTTTACTGTACTGTATTTTTTGTCGTAAATTTTCAGTAAGTTGCCACGACGAGTTGTTTGTGGTGGTTCCTTACACCAATTTTTTCAGACACAAGTTTCTAATTATTTACTTAACTCCACTCTGTGATTTGTATATCTTTATAAATCTCCTTCCTTAATCTCTCCTTGATATATATTGGCCTTTCCCATCCTATAATGAAACACCATGTCTGCATACAGTGCATTGGTGTGCTACCATGAAGGGGGGAACCTCTTGACCATTCAGGTGGGAGGGACCGTGCAGCATCGCTACACACACACACGCGCGCCTATTGTCATCCTTCTTATTCTTGCATCAGTGTGTGACAGCCGGGTGTTTGTGTTACAGGATGTTGCCACAAAAAGCCTCTTTTGGTCCCAGGTGGACGAGCATTCGTTTGGCCCACTGTGCAGCAAGTGCAGAGGTATATTGTGAATGTCCAGTTATTTGTACATTTTGTTATTTCTTCACTAATCTTGCATCTTAGCTTTGCAGAGTTGCATAGTTTTAGCTTACTCTTTGTAATTACTGTAGGTAAAAAAACAAATAACTTTGTAAACCATTTGCACTTGTACTTATTTTAAGTTCAAGTTTAGACAGGCATTGAAGTCTAAGCACATGCTATATATTTTTATTCTTTAGTTTGTCCATCCCATGCCAAGTTTTTTTATAATTTGTTAATTTTACCAGGCATGGGGCTAGTAGTTGTGCTTGTTTTTACTAGTATTCTGTAGTTAAAGAATTTAGAAATTTTGCATGTCTTGTGACACCCCCCATCCCTATTTTGGGACATTCATTATTATTGAATACTGATTACGTCTCTGCTGGTAATTCTTGGGTAATAATTAACCTTTTGTCTGCTGTTATTTGTAGGTGTTAGTAGTTACAGTGTGTTAGTTAATTTTGAAAGCTGCATTCTGTAAGACACCTGTTGAAAGTTTGTTCTGTATTATATATTAAACCTTGTCATTTTATAATAATTGATGAAAGCCTGTATTTTCTTTCAATATGACTCATTCAGTTTAAGATATACAAAATTCAAATGATGTCATGCCCTGTGTAATATTAAAATATCCACTCAAATATACTGTGTATATATATTTTTTTCAAATACAGCATCTTTTTCCTGTTATTTCTTCCGTGTCAACTTGAGGCACTAATTGAGGCACTAATTCAGTGGCACTAATTGAGGCACTAATTCAGCGGGTGTTTCAAGCATAGCAGTTATTTTGTCTTAGCAGTATTAATAGGATTTCAAAGATTTCTGTGGTACACTGCTGGCACAATTAGTTGAGCGGAAAAATATATTGCAAAGTGGAACAAGTTGATATTGCAGTTAAGAACCTAAACAGATTCTATAATAAGGCTGATCAGAATACTTTGAAAACGTTCTGTGTGTGCTCCCATAGCAGGTTTGATTGCAGGTTTGAGCTAGGCAAATATGATGGAGTTTGTCAGATAAAATAAAATGAGTTTAAAGTGGAAACTGACAATACACAGACCTGAGAGTTTTAAAATAAATATTTTGAGCAAGGCTGAATCAAGACGGAAGGACAGTTCCTGTTGACTGGTCTACGTCATGGCTTTACTGATGTCTTATAGGAAAAAAAAGTGTTGGAGCGTGTGGTCATTGAATTCTGTACTGTGCAAACGAAGAAAGTAAGAGCAAGATTTTTTTTAAAAGCCATACAGGAAACTGGTGTACAGTATTTTGTTCTGCCTTGGATAACGTGCAGAAAATATAGTGGAGTGGAAGAGTTCAAAATACTGTTTGTGGTAAAACAAGAGGGAAGGGGTCCAGCACTTCAGGAAAGAAATTTAAGTCCAAGACAGATTTATGAAAGGTTGAAAGGCTCTTTTGGATGCGAAGAAAGACTTTTGACGGACACATTCAGGCATGTGTGACACAAAAGTCAAGCTCTTGATATACAATAAATTATAAAGTGTATAATTCAAATGGTGCAATTATATGTAGGCAACCTTCTTCGTTGAAAATTATATTCAAAATAAGGCGGTAGCCAGCTACTGCCTTATTTTTGTTATACTGTACTGTAATAAGTAGCCAGCTACATTTTTGACCTTCCAAGATTTTCTCCCTATTACTGTATCATCATTGAACATTCAGTTGAAAAGCATCAGCATATATTAATTTTCTGTAACAATTAAATCCTGGGCAGTATCCCTCAAGTTTTCACGTTCGCTAATTAGCTTTTATTAACGTAAGGTATATTAGGCTATTTTTTTTTACTGCTTAACGTATGTGGTGTCTGAGAACCTTACCTTGTCACCAGTGTCAAATGCGTGATATTGGTCAATCAGTAACTTGGTTGGGTATTCATTTTTGTAAAGTTCCTAGTGATTATATCTAACATTTTATTTATGCTATCATTTGTACTCTTCTTGAGCCTTGAAGTCTGTATCTGGGACGAGGGTATGTTTTAACTACTGTATTTGAGAATACATATTGTACAACTAGCTGTTGGTACCCTAAAAAAAAAAGAAAACAAATCGGGAAGTTGATATAGGTTATCTTGAGATGATTTCGGGGCTTTAGTGTCCCCGCGGCCCGGTCTTCGACCAGGCCTCCACCCCCAGGAAGCAGCCCGTGACAGCTGACTAACTCCCAGGTACCTATTTACTGATATGTTGCCAGACTTGATACGGTTTGTCATTATTTGATGGTAAGTTCATAGTCTTTATGAACTGGTTAGTCTTTGTGAACCCTTGAAATTTGAGTAATTTGTTGAGTACTTGCTGCGGAGTATTGCTGTAAAATGTTGTCAATTCTTTAGCAGTATTTTTATTTATCGGATTTGTTATTCCAGTTTGATAATTGTTTGGCAATAAGTTAATGTACTATTGTGATAATATCAGAAAGATTAGTTAATGTGGTAATACTAGAGGGATTTGTTGGTGATAAGTACAGCCAGGTCTCACAAATCTGAAATGCTTGGGATCAATGGCATTAATAATTTTGTAATAAAATTGGTTTCAATAATACCACCCTCCCCCATCTACTTAGTTTAAATATTAAAATTTGTCAAATTATAAGTGGAAAACTAAACAAATGACAGAACACCATACTAACACTAAAGGAATAAAGTTGCCTAAGTCAGTTTGAGGTGATAATTACAATACTGTAAGAATCAAAGCAAATACCAAATTAAACTGGCATCTGAGACAGGTGATATAAAGATTAGTACATAGCAAAAGCTTGAAAACCCCTATGGTAGACCCTAGGAGTCTATGGGAGACCTTGGGAGTCTATGGGAGACCCTGGGAGTCTACGGGAGACCCCTGGGAGTCTACGGGAGACCCCTGGGAGTCTACGGGAGACCCTGGGAGTCTATGGGAGACCCTGGGAGTCCCTGGAAGCTTATGGGAGACCATTATCTCTTAACTGAATGTCACTAGTTTTACATTATGTACCAATTTTTGAAAGGTATATTAATTTCTTGTTTGGTATGGTTGTTACCCAAATTTATGGTAGTTTTCCAAGCTTTCTGAGGCTTTTAATTTATTAAATTAGTTTTTGTGATGGATTGGCTTAAGTTTTAATTGGCTAGTGCAGACAGTTTGGAGCAATTTATTTAGAAGTACAGTTTGTAATTTTTTGTCATGCTTTTGTATTTTTATCACAAGTTTTTTAGTGTGCCATTTATAAGCCACAGACGTTTATCTCGTGATTTTTATGTGTATAGTAAGGGTCAACATGTGTAATAGAGCTGTTGGTCTTTCTCAACCCTTTGCAGGTAATCCTCACATGACTACCATACATGAAACCGTAGGTTGCTGTAGCACGGCACAATATACCTGGTAAATCCCCATATCAATGGAGATAGTAGTGTTTTGCTTCATTTTAAATTAGAAGATTGTATCTTGCCTGAAAAAACCTTATATGTGTATAGTATCAACCATACCTAAATACAGTACAGTATTGGAAACAAAATCTGCTATCTTTACACATAGCAAAGTGTATACATCAATGCATTAAATGGTGAAATACTATCTGTAACAACATCTGTAGGTTGTTGATGTATAAGAATCACATTTTTGCTTAGTACATGTACTATGCAGTCTGCTCAAACGGAGACCAGTCCACAAGAAGTCTAGATGCAAGAGGAAACTTTGTGCTGGTCATAAGGTAAATATAATTGGTTACAATGGCAATGGAAGACTTTCAGAGGAGCGAATACATAAATTTCTGTGTGTGGGTGTGCACAAATTAGAGAAATAGAGGAATTAATATCAGAACTACATAGTCTAAAGTTAGAAATTATAATACTTTTTGTCAGCACGTTCGTGACTTTAAATTTAAATAAATAGTTTAATGATTTAGTAAGAAATAGCAGCACTGTACTGTGAACAGAGAAATTTGATAGCACTATATTGTACAGCATGGTACTTTATTACATTATACTGTATACAGTGGAACTTAGCTCAAATAGAGTTTCAACTTTTACAAGTTTTCAGGTGAACAGGAATGGTTCCGATCCATTCAGAAACTCTGGTACAATGACTGAACATAGAAATGTATTGATCATATGTGGTTGCTTCCAACCGAGTACAGTTGTCGGAAATGTGATGCCGAAATTTTTAAAATAAAAACTTTTTAATAGTTACTTTTTCCATAGATTTTGAAGTCAACATATGTACAATTTTGTGCCTCATTTAGACAAATAAAAGCATAATTGTCAAAAAAGTAGTGGAGATCGTAATTGTTGCCAGCAAAAATGCGAGTTTATTTTTATTTTTAATATCTATGTAAATATGCGAGTTATAAAGGTATAAATTATATCCTGGACGGTGAATTTGGCAAAAAAACTAATCTGCAAAGGGTTAAGAAAGTTTCAACTGAGAAAGTAGGGTCATAAGTTTTGTCAGCAGTTATACAGGTTTTGAGTGAGACTGTTACTCCACCTAGTTGTGCTTGTGCGGGATTGAGCTTCGGCTCTTTGGACACACACTGTTGTGTGTGTCCAGATATAGTGCAGCACGGAAACGTGTCAAGAATTCAGACGAGTTTAGTAATGAAGAGCCTAAGTTGTCAGCTTTTGAGTGCATACAGTGTCGTGAAGCTCAAGATTGAGGTCATAGAATTATTAATAGTAAACTGAATAAATGTACTGTGTATATATTTCCTCATCAGTTACCTCATGAATTGTAATCTCAGTGGCTCAGTAGTGGTAGTACCACAAGGCTAATACACTCAGTATAAAGTGCTTGCTTATAAACCAGTGCTTGGTACCCAGGGTCGTAACAGTGTCCACCAGGGCTCGGCTTGTTTGTGTATTCTAACCAAGTGTTTTTTTAATTTTCATTTCCCTCTGTGCTTTGGGTCTGAGCCTGGGCTCTGCCTCACATGTGTGTGTAAATAAGCCAAGGACAATGTGATAGTACTCAATCTCCCATACCTATTAAGGCCCACTGTTGCTTTGTAAGTAGATGACACCTCTTCCCTAACAGCAGCTTTCAGGGCCTATTGGAACAACTCTCTTGGCACTGCTGCTTTTTATCCTACATTTGCATCTATCTTGCACAAATTTATTCTTATGCCTGGGACTTGTAATGATGCAAATCATGTCAGGCTGTTAGTTTTCCCCAACAAGAGCAATTAAGAGACAGGAAGGGATGAGGCATACATCAAGTGTGCAGCAAGAAGTAATGTATAATCTCTATAGTAATGGCAAGGTTTGTCAACACCAACAATTTAGGGCATCTGTTGGATTCCTAAGACCCCTGGAGAACAATGGTTATCATCATCTACCACCAAGTGGAAAAAATAGTTTGAGCTTCTTCGGCAAAAACCTCCTAGATGCAATCAAAGCAATGTTTGTCAAAATATCAATTTGTATCCCTAAGGCAGCAACAAAATTTTGACTGCTTGAGAAACAAATACTGTATGCAACACTACAAAAACCACCCAGAGCATAGTAGAACCTCCTTGTTTGGAAATGTTGGTCTCATCCCATCAACAAGGTACAAGTCCATAATAACATACATCGTCAGATCTATGAATGAATTCTCCCAACTTTTTCCCTGAACAAAGGAAACATGTAAATCTGTTTTGATCTGAAAAATATATGAATATTGATCCCAGGCAAGAAAGAAGATAGAAGGAAAATACTGCAAGAGCAATTATGCTAAATAATTGTTTGGCATATAGATATATATAGTATATGATAGTAATGGTGATTGTATTTGAGTGAAATTGGTGTATCAAGGTAGTTCTTTCCACTTTAGGGACATTAACACTTTCGCGCTCTCCGCAAAGGTCATTCAGCCAACCGAATGTGCGCGCTGCGTTTTTATCGCTTAAGCGTAAAAACAAAAATGTGTATACTCTTTTTACTCTTCTGACCTTAGTTCTCATGCTACGTATTTCATTTTGGTACCAACGTGTTCGCAATAAAATTCTCTAGAAGAACATTAGTAAAATAAGTCACGAAACATATAGGGATACCAGCACCAAATAAATAACTACGTAGATGACTCGCCGTGAGCGCCCATCAGCAACAAAATGTTTTTACTCTTGGGATTGTAATCACCTCCACACTTGTTCTACAGCGTTAATTTTGGTATCAATGGACTCGCAATGAAATTCCCAACACGGTGATATGAATATAAGCGTAGAATAATGATGCAGCCCGCCCGCAAGAGTGTGGGAAGTGGTGAAATTGTTACCCGGTATCGGTGACGGGATGACGCACGGCGCTTTGAAAGTTTATACTTATTTCACTCTCATGACATTAATTTTCTATGTACGTCATTCATTTTTATGTCAATGTGTTCGCAATAGAATGTTCTATGTGCCCATAGGTAAAAAATATCAACAAAGCGTAAGTTAGAATAGCGACAAATATAAAACAACGCTGGAACATATCAGTGAGCGTCAAACACACACGAAATATTTTTACTTTTGTTATGTTCGTCAAGATTATACTTGTTGCACACAGTTATTTTTGGTTGTATATTGATCGGAATAAAATTCCCTAAACAGACATATGCATATAATACATGATATGGGGGAAGAATTACCAGTATAAACAGCTAAAGTCACCCACCTGCAACCCGTTTGGGACAAAATACCATTTGATCGAAGTTATCCACACCTTTCATGAACTTATTGTACCATGCAGCCTAGTGGTGAGAAAGAGAGCCTCATAGCGCGCAGTTTGAAACAAACCCAAAGTAAATCGGATAAAAATTGAATTTTATACAAATATTTTAAAAGTAGACATAACTTTATGTCCACTATGCGTTTACGTTAGACGAAACCGAACGCGCCAGCGCGTCCAGATAGCGCGAAAGTGTTAAGTTAGATTTGGATATTGTGCCTTTCAATTTAGTGCCTGTGGCAAGTGTTCAGGATGTTAAAGGAGTCGGCAGCAGTAGTATGGAATTGGTTTTTCATGTGTCAAGTTTATATTTTTATATTTACCTTTCCTTGCACATTTAGTTATTTTATTGGTTTTTGCTTCAGGCTTTATCCCCACTCTCCTCTCTTGCTTTTTTGCTTATGCATGTGTCATGTGTACTGGCATATTCTAATAATATGCTTAATTTATACAACTTGAGTTCCTGATTAAAACCCTTGAGAATTTTGACAAGTTATGTATTAGATGTGCAGAGCATATTTTGTTAAATTTTTGTTTGCATTGAGATTTTTACAAGGCATGGACTTCTTTCTTTCTTGTTATTCTTTGTGTTATGATTTTAAGTACTGTTATGCATATACAGTCTTGCTTGTGTTTTTACAAAGAAGCAAGTTTGTTGTGTAATTAAGATAGTCAGTACTATATGAAATAAACAGACTAATACAGTGCTCAACTGTTTGAAATGTTTTTTTTTTTTTTTTTGTAGCAACAGGAAAAAACGATGTGTGAAAATGATCAAGAATAAATAATACAATACTGTAATTTCAATTTAGCTTTAGTCAGTCTTATTGTACACTTCACACATAAAAGCCATCATTATGTGAAACTTGCTTCTTATATAGTATTTCTTGTTCTCTCCCATGTTCCTTTAGTCCTGTTATGATATATATTTTAAGATTTATGATGAGAGCTAGATGTTACTGTAGTATAAACTATTATGTATTGTACCTTGAATTGATTGTTTATACTGTATTTATTATATATATATATAGAAGATAATTGAGTAGACATTAATGGGCTGAAAGCCAAATGCATTAGGTGTAATTAATAGTCAGGCTTATGCTGAATAGTCAAGAATTTGTAGTGTCTGTGAAGCTCACTTTGCATTTGATTGGGGGATAAGATATGCTTACAGAAAATGATTATCCACACATTCTATGATTTAACTATAGTAGTTTTACGTTATTAATTTGAATGTTCTTCTAGGTTATATATCATTGTTCATTGCATATATTGAAATACGATTACATATTTTTAAACATATTGAATATTGTATGATGATTTAACCATAAGGCATTTCATGTGTTAGGATATCGCTCAACGTGATGACTCTCAATGTTGAGTCTCCACGAGTCTACACTGCACAAGGAGTTCCAATCTCTGTCACGGGCATTGCACAGGTCAGTGAACTAAACACATTTTTATTTACAGACAAGAAATTGTGTACAGTATTTTGTTACATTATCAGAGGTAAAAGATTTCTTATAACCATAGAAACTACACACAATATTGTATTGTATCCCGAATTATTTATTTTCTTAGAAAAGCTGTTGGTTTCAGCAGTACTAATCTAGTATTAAACAAAAATTTAATATAACTATTACTCGAACAATGTAAGTTATATTAAAATTCTATGGCTAGAAGCATTACCCTCGTAGTTTCTAGCAAGCCGTCTTATATCTCAAGTTCCCCGTTTTCGTCTTTCTTCTGTATGCGGTTTAGTTATTACTGTAATGTTGTTATTTTATTGTACTGTACAATACACTGTTTTCACTTCTTTCTGAATATGATTCTTGATGTCCTCATACAGTTCTCGTGCCTTCTCATATTATATGTATCACTTACAGTACATGCACCAAAAATGGTCCATTTGTCCACCACACATACACCCTGGGAAGTTGCCAAGGATCAAGATGTTGTAGGATGCATGGTGGACAGTAGTAGGAGGGACAGCAGCAGCTATTGTAGGAAGGGTTGTGGGACAGAAGTACGACAGTCAAGTAACAGCTATTGTAGGGTCATGGGACAGGAGGAGGAGTGGCAGCAACAGCTGTTGTAGAAAGGGTAGTGGACATGGCAGTAGCAGCTATTGTAGAAAGAGTGCTGGGTAAGGTAAGGTGGTAGTGGGAGCTGTTAAAAGAGTTGAGGCACAAAAGAGGTTGTGGAAGTGTTCTAGCATCATTATTTTATTGTTTTGTATACTTATTGTGAGAATGAAGCTTAGTTTACAACCGAAATGTTGAAGTGTGACGCATCATCTTCAGGCAGTAGACACCAATATTAGTGTCTGTAATACAGGTGTGGGAGTCTGCATCTGGTAATGTGCAGGAATCCCATACATATCATATTTTTCATGAATGCTTGTGTATAAGGAGGATTATTCAATATTTCAAAATGTCTATATTCATTAACAGTTTATGATGGAACATAATTTATATTTGTTTTATTGTGAGTTTTTGTTTTCTCTGTAATATGGTTCAGTTCCTGAGCCCATTATATGGCTCTGTAAACTTTTCTGTTACGTCTCGTAGAATGGGTATGGGATGCATAATAAGTTAACACTTTCGCTCGGGGATGACGCAGCATTGCGTCATCCGTTTACTGGCGGTAATGCCGGGGATGACGCAGCGTTGCGTCATCCACTTTAAAAATTCGCCAAAAATCAGGTTTTTATCCGATTTTTTTGGGACTGGTTTTAAAATGTGCGCCGATGTCTTCCCATTTTCTTTGTTGAGCCTCGTGGCCCTCAGGCGGCTTGGCACACGCCGTGGGCCCATTGTCTTTGCTCCACTGTTGTGACCAATGTCGCTTCCCCTCGCATCTCAAACGTGTGAACATTTCGGCTATTTTCCGTGGCTATATTTCTTACTGCGGCTTTAGAAACTATCTACGCTTACTCCACGATGGATAGTAATCATGAACAAGGCCCTTCCAGGAAGAAAATTGCGAAAGAAAGGCTTGAAAAGGGTGGGAATTGGGAGTGTAGCAGGAAGGCCTCTGAGCGCTCACTCATGGCTAACGCGTGGCCCGTCTTCAACTCGTCGGCGGTTGGAGTGTGACCAGGGTTTTTTTCTTATATGCTAATGTTCCGCTAGAGAATTTTATTACGAACCCATTGAGACCAAAATGAAAGACCTAGGACAAAAATTGAGGTGACCAGAGTGAAAATAGTGAAAACATTTTATCCCGTTTGCACGCTCCTGGGTAACTCGTTCGCACTTTCTCTGTTTGCTGCGGGTAATTAGCCGGGCTTTTGGAGTTTATATGCATTTAGTGCTGTAGAGAATTTTATTGCGAACACAATGATACCAAATTTAATCTCGTAGAAGGAGAATTGAGGTGACAAAGTTGAAGAGAGTATACACTTTTCGGAATTAACGCGCGCTTCCGTGACACGCTGGGGCCCATATCGCCCTGTCGAGGGGTGGCGCGCGGGGTGAGCGAAAGTGTTAAATAAGCTAAACAAAAATTATATTATCAGACTTTTTGCTTCTGTTTGGTTACACCCAATGTATATGTGTATACATATTTAGCCTTTTTTTTTCATTAAATTATTCTTTTGTTACAAATTTGAATTTGATGAGACATTCTCTCTCTCTCATTTTCAGGTGAAAGTACAGGGTCAGTATGAAGAAATGTTACTGGCTGCCTGCGAGCAGTTCTTGGGCAAGTCGGAGTCCGAGGTTCAACAAGTGGCACTGGAAACGCTTGAAGGACACCAGCGTGCCATCATGGGGTCCATGTCTGTTGAGGTTGGTGTCTTTTTTGCGTAGATATGAGAAATTGTAGTTACTGTATTTTGTGTGCGTGCTTCAATTTTTTAAATCTACGCAGGAAAGAAATTAACCTACCAGTCAGTGATCCTTGTTGCACACAAGAACGGTTTAATTCACCCTCTAGTGTGGTTCACTTTTTTCTTGACAGCACTTGTGATTGTTACCAAATGCACACAAATTACAAATTGTGCACACATAATGTGCACACTAAGCACACAAATACAAATTTTCTACTACTTCCAATACAGGCATTTATTTTATACAAAGTTCAAATACAATGCTTTGAATTTAGATAGCTTATCTTCATGTACGTAGGCGTATAAATTTTGCATATCTCTTGAACTTTGTCATCTGCTCAGTGAAGGGTAAATTTGCTATTGGTATGTGGTTATCTTTCTCTCTCTCTGTCTGACACAGTCGTACACACACTCGATATGTGCTGCCATCTTCTGTCCACAGCCCAAAGCACTGCTTCTCTCATGCCGATGCAGAGACAAGGAACAGGACTTGTGGTTAAGACAAAATTTTACCGCTGACTACTCTCAACAGGTGTTACACTTTGCAAACAGAGATACTGTATTGTACAGTACTAACTATTTAAAATCTTAAAAAAATGGCAGATTCAAGAAATGACTTGGAAACCTTGCAACAAGAGCACCAACATTATAACATCTAATTGACCACAAAAGTTATAGCATTAACCCTTAAACAGTGCAAGTCATATATATATGATTTTGTGTCTAGTGCTATAATTTAAATGCCCCACCTAGGATAGGGGCAGCTATAGTGCAGCCACAACCAAAAGTTGCCAGATGCCACCTAGAAAAAAAATCCAGGCCAACATTCTTGGGTGTGAGAGCTTCAGTATTGAGCAAGCCACCAAGGCTGATGCACGCAGCACGAGCTCACAGCACCGCTGTTCAGCTTGTGATCACAGCATCGCCTACAAATGCCATAATAAATATGTTTCTGCTATTATTTAGCGATGATAGTATTACAGAAGACCCCTGACTGTGATAAAACTGACCAGGATTCTGATAATAGTAGGATTGTGGTGATATTTAGCGCTGTGCTCCATGGAGGGAGGAGTAATGTTGTGGGAGGGAGGGTGGTGGCGTTGTCTTCTGACTGTGTGTGGCCACCATACCAGACTGCACTCACCATACCAGCTTAGTGGTTCGCTATGGTGAACACAAATGTAGATACTTGTATATAACGTGTGTATAGAGCGTAATAACAGCAATAGGATAGGTTGTGAGCCGCCATTTTGGTGAGGGAGGTGCGTCGTCTGCACAACTTTCATGTTGTTTACTGGTGGCCACTATGATCTTTGGCCACCATACCAGCTTATTTGTACAGGTATGGTGAATAAAACAGGTAGATACTTATATATAATGTGTGTATATAGTGTAATAACACAACAAACAGTATTGTTGGAGGAGAAATATAAGTGCATATGGCCTTGAGGGCGGCCGCCACCAGCTGACTGTGTGAGTAGCTACGACTTTGTGCCTTTACTCACCATACAAGCTTAGATGTACAGTTATGGTGAACAAAACATGTAAATACTTATACATAATATCTGTGTATAGTGAATAAATGCAAAAACAGTATTGTGGGAGGAGAATGAGGGCGAGTGAGGTGTTGTTGAGGGAGGGAGAGGCAACGAGTGGCTGGCTGGTGTTTGGCGGTCACTCCTCGTTGTATTTTGACTCACAATACCAACTTAGTGGCTCGCTTTGGTAAGCAAAACATGCAGATACTTATATATAACCTGTGTGTATATAGTGTAATAACAGCAAAACTATTTGTTTATTGTTTTATGAACATAATAATTGAATCACTAATATGCACACCATAATTTTGAGTACAGCGATGATTCACACATTTTATAATATAAATATATCACAATTCACTGTATTGAATAATATTACTGCAAAAAACTAAGAAAAAATCAATCATTGAAATAATTAGGTAATAATATTTGTGGCAACTGCCGCCTGACAGCTCAAGCGGAGTAGACCTCGTCTGGCGAAGGCTCTGTCAACGCCCCTTTTTTGCCAGACTTCCCTACCCTATTGCGGCTAAAATATGCCACCTACGATTTTTTTGTCATTTTTTCCGTGATCAGGGAACGAAAATGAACACTTCTATAAGACGAAGGAATTTTTTTTTTTTTTTTTTTTTTGCACCTGTGGGTGTTAAATCCATTTGGGCCCCTAGCGGTTTGAGGGTTAATGTAAGCATTAAAACTTTGAAGACGTTAAATATTGATCACTTGGGTGCCAAACCTATATACTGTACAGTACTCCACAGTACAGTACATGGAGGTGTACCGAAACAAATATTTTTACTTGCATTAGTATTCTGATGCTATAAAAAGACTGATATAGGTACTTCAATACAGATATGATACTTAATATTTTTTGGTCAGAAGTCGGAACAATGCCAGTTTGTGTAAAAAAAAAATTTGTCAACATTTTACCGATACCAGTACAGGTATAGTACTAGTACTGAAAAAATCGGTAGATACCAGCAATACGAATACATTGGCATGCCTTTACAGGATACAGGAAACAAGACAAATTTAGATTTTTCTTATGACAGAAATAGCAAGTAAAGAATCTAGGAATAATGATGTAAGACAAAAATTTAATAAGCATAACAGAGCAAATATAGCATTAACTAGAAAAATGGTACGGTGGCTTATGAAAACCTTCAAATTCAGGGATATTTTCTTCGATCCAGGGAATACACAGTGTTCCTACTTTCCAGATTGTGTATGCTTTCTCACCTTGAATACTGCTTGATGCTTTCTTCATCTTTCAAGGAAGGATAGGTTTCTGAAATAGATGGAATACAGAGAACATATTCAGTATTGTAGTTCATTTTAATATTGTCTTAGTTAAAATTTATTTAACATAAACTATGTTCAGAGTATCTGACAAATTATGTTTGGAATGTTATTGTTCACCTCTTAATATTCAAAATGTGTTTTGGTTGAGTGTTGATGCATGTATTTGCTGAGTAGGTGTACATTTAGGGAAAATGGCCCATAGGATATATATATTGGCACCGAGACAAATCTAGAAAGATTTTCACGTTTCTTAAAATTGTAGCTGAAAAACATGGGTTTCCTCAAGGTGCACGCTCTCCTGCACATGTGGGTCTTGTTTTACACTGAAGTACATATTTTATCTCTTCAGGAAGTTCATTTTGTTTTTAAATGCTTTATCAGATTCTTTTTTATAATTAACAGGAGATATACAAGGACCGTAAAAAATTCAACCAAAATGTTTTTGAAGTTGCATCCAGTGACTTGATAAACATGGGCATCACTGTACTCTCGTACACCCTTAAAGACATTCATGATGATGAGGTACGTAAACATGTTTGTTTCGTAACTAAACTTTGTATGCCAGTTGATGAGAGAGAAATTAGGGATATGTGTGTTCATTTATTACATGTACTTAGTATTGTCACAGTTTAAATTTGTTTGGGTGATTTGTGTAACAGTATGTATACCATACTGGCATACTAATATATTTGTGTGTATATAATAATAATAAATTTATTATTATATATGTACTGTACAGTACAACCTCGTAAATCCTGACTAATATGTGCCAAGCCCATTCCAGATTTTAAAGAATTTTGCATTTTTTGGTAATTTACATCCAAATATTTAGTAATTTTTTTTATAGAAAATAATAGAACAAATCTCTATGCTTATTTAGATACAAATACAGTGATATATATAATTATGATTTTGTAATATTATAATACAAATAATATAAAACTAATAGAAATTTGAGCCTCTGGGTATTTTTGTCAATCTTTGCTATCAGAATTTTCTCATCTGATCTTTTTATGTGAGAACAGTACTTGTATCAACATCAAACTTGTCTGACAGTCTCTTTATTCCCTAGTCATGATCATTTTCCATATAAAGTGTACTTTAAAATCCATAATATTGTACAAGAGGTGACCCAAAACCACCAAAAGGTAGGGTGAAAAACTTGCACTGTGTAGAGATTCCTGTTTTTCAAGGCCTAGATTTTCGAGGTTGGATCGTGTGCACATGTATGCGTATGTGTGTGTGTGTGTATATGTGTGTAATTTTTTTTAATATAGTATAAAAATTGTCTGGAGAATATACAGTCTTTTATGAGGATTATGTGGAGGAGTCTATAATTGAAACTAAAGTTCTTTGTTATTGTTTCTTAAAGCTGGATGATACTTGTTGTATGAAGGGAGCTTAGCAAGTAGATTAGATTCCAGTAAAAGACGGGCAGCTAAGCACTGAAGGAGTAAATTTATATATTATTATTATATATATATAATAATAAAATAATACATTGAACTGAATGGTAAGAAGTTATATACTTTCAGTTTTCTAGCTTTATTCAACTTGGGTTCCCGACTTAATATCTGAAATAACACAAAGCAAAGGTATCGGAAGGGAATTACAAATCATCCTTATAATGAACCCTATAACAAGAACAAACGAATACAGTATAATCAAATGAATAAGATATTTAGAAATATCACATTATATAAATATGTATCGGTAAATGCAGCCTCAGTCCTTTCTGCTTTTGACCAGGTGCTTGAACCCAATTCGTTTCTCCACTCTTCTCTGATGGAGTGTACGCCATCCGGTTGATACAGTACTGTGCTAACTATTCCATTCCATTCGTCAGTCTAAGCAATCTCTTATCATCACTGTTGCTGCAGCAAGATGACATGAGGCAGAAAAGAAAGATGCTTATATGGTAATTTAAAAAGATCGTTAGGGAAATAATTAAAATGCTAAAAGGATTTTATGAGAAGGAAGAATTTATTTTTCAGAAAGGTAATCATGTTGGGGAAAAAGGAGAACCTAAGGAGAGTGGAGGACATAGGGAAAGATTATGTTGGCTAATATGCATGATGCTACCAGTATATGGAGAAATTATTTTGGTATCGGTTACAAATGATGAAGAAAAGGCTATAACAACATTTTTGCAATGAGCAGAGTTGATGGAAGAAGATCAGTGAAACAGGAATATAAAGGGAAGAAATTAGAGAAACCAAGAATATGTTAAAGAGGGTAAAGGCTCTTGGTATAGATGAAATAGTTTCAGATATGTTGAGGTACTGTATAGGGGTGAGGTTAGCTATAGACACTTAAAGGTATTGTATAAGGGTGTGATGGTTGTAGACATAATGTTGAACACATGTTAAATGGCATGGCAGGAGGGAAGGGTGCCAGGTATTGGACTAAAGCTGTTTTGATACTGTGCCTATATTTTAGGGAAATAGGGCAGAATGTTGTAACTATGGGGAGATTAGTTTACTTAGTGTATGTGTACATACACCTTGAAAAGTGTATGACAGAGTGCAAAATGAGAGAGTAAGATAATAAAATGTTGGGTGAACAGGGTGGATTTTGCCAGGGAAGGGGCTGTAAGATCAGATTTTTACTGAGAACTTGTTGAAACATTTTAGGAAGAAGAAAATTGTATGGATCTAGAAAGAGCATGTGATTGAAGTGTTTGTTTAGCAATTGTGGGTTCTTTAAAGATTATAGATTGGGCTGGAGTTTATTAACAGCTGTGACATAAGTTTATATGCATAGCAGAACATGTGTAATAGTAGGGATAAAATACAGTAGATTTTTTTGTTGGAATAGATGTAAGACAAGGTTGTGTGGTGATGCCCATGCTCTTTAATATACTGTATATAGGATGGGTCAGTTAAGGTTGTAAAGGCAGGAACACTAGAAGTGGGGAGGGGATTGTAAGGGAGGTAAATTGATATTTACATGGTTGTATGCAGGTGATGCAGTGTATTTTGCTTAGATTGAGGAGGAACTGTGAAAGATTGTGAATAAGTGTGATAATGCCAGAGAAGAAATTTAAAACTCAACGTAGGAAAAGTGAGATTAAGGCATTTGAAAGCAGAAAATGGGATGTTGTAAAACTTTGTTGATCCTTATAGAGTGGCAAGACATTAATTTGAAATGTAGGGTAAAAATTGAGGAAGACATACTGGAAGTAGTTGTAAATTCTAAATACTGTACTGTATGGTACTAAGGAGCTGTGCTCAATACAAAATGGAAGTATATATAGATAGTGAAATAAGTGAGGATAAAGAATGGGGGAGAATAGTGAAGTTAAGAAATGTTAGTATCGGAGTTAAGAAACGTTATTATCGGAGTTAGGGAATGTTAGTATGAGAGATAAGAAAAAGATTGAGCGACTGTAAACAACTCTTACCCCTGACATGTGTAAGTGAAGCTTGGGTGTGGAAAAGCATCTGGTGTATATGGGATGGATACATCAGTGAGAAGGTATAGTATATGAGAGATGCAGTACAAGTAGAAAAAGTGACGGAATGAACTGGCATATGAAGTGAAGTGAATGAGCTGAACTGGAGTGGATGAAGTCCAATGCATTCAGGTGTGGCATAAATGTTTGTAGAATACCTGCGAATCATTAAATGAGAAGGGTTTATAAACGTGAAATTAGGGGATCATATAGTAGAGGCAGATGAGCGGTATCTTGGAAGAGAAGATTGGGATTTTATATGAACAGAAGGGTGAGAGGGGGGGTTTGAGAGCTTGAAAGAATGAAATGTTTGAGTGGGGATAAAAGCCTCCTGGAGAAATTTCTGCTTTGGCCTTCTGATAATGGGAAGGTCTCTGAAAGGGACAGAGTGTCTGAGCTGTAGCTAGATAAACCTTATAAGAAGTCAAGGTTTCTTGTTCAATGAAACACTAGAAAGAACTTTAGTCTGAAAGTAGACTTAATATTTGCCACGGTTCCAGTACAAAATGTTTATTTTGTAAACTAATGATTATCTGGAATACAATACAATAACAGTTCATTGGAAATATTACCAATGTAATAGTCCATGATTGCATTTAATGTTGAAAGATTATATACTCCTTCAATGAGAACTTTTTGGCATTGACGAAGATGTTTTTATGAATTGTATGAAATATTTTGTATGTATTACATAGGAGATCGATTTGTTACAGTTTATTAATTCCTTTAAGGAAGTGATGTTAAATCCTAATATTAGTTAAATGTTTTGAATTTCTTGTATAATGTGTGCCTTACATATTGAAAATATTCATAGAAATTTTTTGTTACACATTATCTTGATATCAGGTTAATATTTGCATTAAAGTCTAGTAACTTTATGAAGTCGTAGATTACTGCCAGATAATATTTGCTTGTCCATCTCGTATCCACACTTGTAAATGTCAGTGTCTGTCTTGCACGGTTTTGATAAGTTCATTTTTGCTGTGTTAAAAGGGAAGCTGTGTGCATAGATAAGGCTATTACTTAACTCAGATCTTTAATTTATTAACTAATGGGTAATAGTGGGGACTAATGGGAGAGAATTATTATACAAGTGTTTTTGTTTATATGATACTATTATAATGTATTAATAATTATGATACACATATATTTATATACATGCATGCTGACATTTACATATGATTACAGATACAGTAACTACTAAGGAAATTGAAATCAGAAATGACTTGAACTCTTTTTGAGTATTTCAGGCTCACATTATAAAGATGTGCTAAAGATTGTATGTGCAAATGTACTTGAGCAATTTGAATTTTCAGTTTCCTTTGGGGTTATCCTTTGTCACTTACTTTTTTTTTTCTGTGAGAGATTTACATTATATACAAAATATACATATACTGTATACAGACATCTGTATATGTGTTTCATTTAATATTTATGATTTGCAACAAATTACAAAACATCTAATCTTACCCTTTCCTCCACCTCTGTCAATGTTATTACTATACTCAGACCTACTATGCAAAGGTTAGTTTAGTCCAGGTCTATTCAGCCTGTCGTGTTGTCCGTTCATGTGGTACACGATAGATGGCCGCCCAGTAGGTGTGCACGTGCATTATTGTCTCTGCTTGCTATGGGAGTTGCAGTTCTTTGCACTGACCAAGAGAAATGTCCAAATGTTGGCCCTTATTAGCCATGCCTTTCTGAGTTCACAGCAGATTCATGTGTTAGCACCAGAACCTGTTCGTACAGTATTCCATAGTGTACTTGGAGGCACTTCCTTAATGCCATACAGTTATTTATATATTTTTATTTATTTATTTTTCTTAAACCTCTTTTAATTTAAATTTATTTGTTTGTCATTTTGTTACTTGTATATTTGTTTATGATTGATTATTTGTACTGTAGTACTTGTGCTCCTCTTTTACTTCTCACATTAGTTTACTACTATTTGTTTTTATTTGTACATTTTTAATTTGTTGTACTTTTTATTTTGTTAACATGTTTTTTTAGACATAAATGATGGGGGGTCTTAAGATAAAATAAAATGAATTTTTTGTTTTTTTTTTCCAGCAACTTGGTGAATACTAGTAATAAGGCTTTTCAATGTAATGGCTAGCTTTCCCACCATGAAGCCAGTGCTTTGGCAGGCAATCTAGTTTTTTATCCCTAGACCCAACTACCCCCCCCCCCCACTGGTCATAAGTAAACAAAGGTTCGACTCGCCTTTTCCCTTTAGTTGGTTTGTGTTACTTGCATGAATCATGGAAGAGGTCCCCCCCCCCCTCCTAATGCCTTTATTTATGCACATGCTTCCCGCTATTATGTTGATATTTACGTGACAGAATACCTATATGATATACAGTATGCTTTTTATTATTGTTGTGCTCTCTGTTAATTATTCTCTCTAACTTTCAGTATGACATTCCAACCCACCCTCCCCCTTCGTTTTCAGCCCATATTGCTGTAGACATTTTATCAATTGTTGTCTAGTGTTCACTGTAATTTCTTGAGTAGATTAGATAACGTGGATCATTTTATCTTTTAGTAATTGGTTTTGCAGTTAAGTGAGAGGTTTAAAAACCTATGTGATATTAACCAAGCTCCTAGATAAAATTACTCGTAAATAATTTTTAGTTATAACTTCAGCAGTGTATTGAACTCAGAATTTGTTAAACCCTTTACCTATGAATACTACAGTTTGTATGTGGCTTTTTTTTAAATCAGTATAAACATTTAAATTAATGTGTTATTTTTAAAACAAAATATTTCCCAGTGAATAAATTTGACCGTAAAGATGCTTTTTCTATTCTGCAGCTAAACATATTAAAGAATTTTTTCTTTAAGTTTTATTTTAAACCACTTTAAAGATATTAAAGAGGAGTACAATATTTCAGTTTATAAATTATTCTTTAATTTGTGTGTGTGTGTGTGTTCGTAAGCCTGCTATGGTTTTGTTTGGTGATTATGCATGTTAAAATGCAGTTTATTAGTTTTTGGCACTGCCTGCATAATGTATTTTAATGGTCATTGGAGCATACAACCATGCAATTTAGTTAGTGTTGTATTGTAAAAATATATATATTATTTATTTATTTAGAAATTGCGTGATATTTCTTTGTACAGTGTCGTCATATTTAGAAAACAAAGTATATCTTCTTTGATAACAATCATTATAACCATAAAGCTTCATTGCATGGGTGTTTCTTGTACTGGAGTGTAAGGTACCTCGGTTATTATTAATGTGTAGTTAAGACTGCGTCCGTGTGGGAATATGCTGCGTTTTGTAGTGTAGAATATACCAGGTTGTGTTCTTGATGTTGCTTTGTTTGCCTGATGATTTTAAATCTGATATACTGAACATCACAACATTACCAGTGACTAAAAAAAAAGAATAATTTAGTTATTTGATGGATATTAACCGTTTCTTTTAAGTTGCTTATTTGTCTTGTAAGATTTTGAACGATTAAGTTACTGTTTACAAGAGAGTTGTTTGGTAGTACAGCATTTGTTAATTGACTGTAACTGACAGAGTGGTATGCCCTGTAAGCACAAGCATGTGTGTGTTTAAACTTAAGTGTGAATATATGTTGATGTGACAGAGTTGGCAGGTTTTTGTGTGGGCGTATCATTCTTGCTTCTCAGGCACACGCCAAAAAAAAAAAATAATTATAGAAGTACAGTGGGCTCCCAGTACGACACTACTGGAATGCAGTTCTTGAGACATTGTGCAAAACTAAACTACATAGTATTTTGTTTAAATGAGTGTATGTACATGCAGGCAAGTTTTAAGGTTTTAACATAAAACAATGCAGCCAAATGAGTTTAATGCTGTTCTATTGTATAATAATGTTAAGGTTTAATTCAGTATAACACTGTATTCATGTATAAAAAGTCTAAATTCTCATTGATTCTCTAATATAATAAGTTAATTTATGTCCTAAAAATAAGTTTTTTTGGTTAAAATTCTGTAAGAGGTAATATATTTTTTTTTTGCATTTAATTCATTATTTAAGAAAATTTGCTCTTTATTCTTATGATTTGTGACAGCATAAAACAGGGTTGGCCATGTTCAACATAAAAGTAGCCTTGGTTCTTGCCCCCTACATAAAAGGGGAATTCCTTAATTTTATCTAGAAATGTGTTATTTATTTTAGCAAGTGTTTGTTACAACTTGAGTTTATGGATATTATTTTCAACATTACCCAATTCAGGTAACTAGCAAGAGGCTTATAGTGTTCTGGGATGCTAGCATAATCCTAAACCTGGTGATCCTTTCATAATAAATAGCCCTGTTTCATTGCATGAGTGTGTTTATGGGAGAAGAAAGACTAGGAATGAGAGTGTGAGGGGGAAAGAAGGAGGAAGAAAAACGAGATGAAAGGAAGAGAGCAGGTGGAACAAAAAGAAGAAAGGGGGGAAGGGGATGGTGAGAAAATGTGAAAAAGAGCATGATGGAGGGAGAAAGAAAAAGGTGTATACTTTATTGTAGTCTATTATAAAAAAAAAGTTGACCACTAATAATTTGTTTTAATTCAGTATATCACTGATTAGGCCCAGGCTTCAAAATAAGCTGGTGTAGGGTGTGATTTTTTTTTTTTTTTGTAGAATTAATATATAGATTTAATACTTTCTCCTATCGAACCGTAGTCTTTACCAAAGAGGCGTGAAGAGTACGAAGATTGAGGGAAAGAGAATAAGAGTAAGGTAGCAAGGGCACTTGATAAAGATAGTATGATGCATTCAGTTAAATTACTTTACGTTCATGCACATAGGTGTAAAAGTAATCAGAACAGGAGTAGTCAGTCATGTGTGTGCTGAGCCAGTTGTATGTGTGCTGGCCCACTTAACACTTTCGCGCTATCTGGACGCGCCGGCGCGTTCGGTTTCGTCTAACGTAAACGCATAGTGGACATAAAGTTATGTCTACTTTTAAAATATTTGTATAAAATTCAATTTTTATCCGATTTACTTCGGGTTTGTTTCAAACTGCGCGCTATGAGGCTCTCTTTCTCACCACTAGGCTGCATGGTACAATAAGTTCATGAAAGGTGTGGATAACTTCGATCAAATTGTATTTTGTCCCAAACGGGTTGCAGGTGGGTGACTTTAGCCGTTTATACTGGTAATTCTTCCCCCATATCATGTATTATATGCATATGTCTGTTTAGGGAATTTTATTCCGATCAATATACAACCAAAAATAACTGTGCAACAAGTATAATCTTGACAAACATAACAAAAGTAAAAATATTTCGTGTGTGTTTGACGCTCAGTAATATGTTCCAGCGTTGTTTTATATTTGTCGCTATTCTAACTGACGCTTTGTTGATATTTTTTACCTATGGGCACATAGAACATTCTATTGCGAACACATTGACATAAAAATGAATGACGTACATAGAAAATTAATGTCATGAGAGTGAAATAAGTATAAACTTTCAAAGCGCCGTGCATCGTCCCGTCACCGATACCGGGTAACAATTTCACCACTTCCCACACTCTTGCGGGCGGGCTGCATCATTATTCTACGCTTATATTCATATCACCGTGTTGGGAATTTCATTGCGAGTCCATTGATACCAAAATTATCGCTGTAGAACAAGTGTGGAGGTGATTACAATCCCAAGAGTAAAAACATTTTGTTGCTGATGGGCGCTCACGGCGAGTCATCTACGTAGTTATTTATTTGGTGCTGGTATCCCTATATGTTTTGTGACTTATTTTACTAATGTTCGTCTAGAGAATTTTATTGCGAACACGTTGGTACCAAAATGAAATACGTAGCATGAGAACTAAGGTCAGAAGAGTAAAAAGAGTATACACATTTTTGTTTTTACGCTTAAGCGATAAAAGCGCAGCGCGCACATTCGGTTGGCTGAGTGACCTTTGCGGAGAGCGCGAAAGTGTTAATTGTATAGATGCTAGACCAGTTGTGTGTGTGTGCTGAGTCAGTCAGTTGGCAGTGACTGGACATGTTTGCCTTAAATTATAATTTGTACAAATGAGAGTGTAATTTCTGGTATTATGATCATTTAATATTTTTCAATTAAATATTAGATGCACATGCATTCATGCTTGAGTTTAATTAAATAAGCAGTTATTTACTTTGAAGCTTATGCCCTTGCAGCAAAGTTCCATCTTTCTTAGTGCTTTGCACCATATACTAAATACTATCTAGCAGATCTCTGTGTATGTTTAGCATTATACTAATATGCTCTTTAAAATCAGTGCCATAATTTGCAGTACAATAATATGTAGCGTATGTTTATGATTGTCATAAAATAATAATAATAATAATAATGGGATTTGATACTACTACTTATACACCAATCTAAGGTGCATTATGTGTGTTTAATTTGTTATTTAGTTGTTTTGACATGCTAGGTTTAAAATTCACTGTATTTCTATGCACTTGGGTTTATCAAGAGACTAGTAGTTATCATGTTATGCATCGTGTCCTAAAATTCTCTCTACAGTATGCAGAAAGATTCCTTAGCATGACGAAATAATTATCATTAGATTTTGGATGTTGTGCCTTTGGATATTAATTTTTTTTCTTATACAAATAATATCGGTCCAAGATACAGTACTGAGTTACAACTTAATTGTTTACTTGTAGCACTTAGACAAGGCTGAGATGTTTTGCAGTACAGTACTGAAGAAAGTTATGTCTTATCTCCATACAGTTGTTTACTATAAAGCTGTTATTTTCTTTGTGTAGTAGCACTCTTTGAGGCTTTTGCTAGGGTATTCTTGATTGTATGATGAATCTAAATTCTCAGTCGCGTTTGATTTGCTTCCAAGAAGTTTCTGTAGATATTGCGTAAAGCAGTTTATTTATTTTCTCAACTGTACATTGCTGGTGGTATGTACATACAGTATTTTGCAAAGGTAGTGTAATAGTATGTTAATACATGCAGTAGTCAGATTTTAATTCTTGAATGTATATTTACTCATAAAGAATTAATTTATATAATTGGGCCTTTTTATTTATTTTTTTTTTTTAGGTGATTGTGTAAGTAGAGATTTTGCTCTTCTCATTTGATTAACAATATATTTGTACTGTAATAAACACATATCATAGTGTAGAATTGTGGTTTAAACTTTAATGAAGCTTGGATCTCTCTTGATTTGTGACTTTTCATCACTAGGGCTACTTAGATGCTCTGGGTATGGCCCGAACTGCTGAAGTAAAGCGCGATGCCCGTATTGGTGAAGCAGAAGCAACCAAAGACTCGCAGATTAAAGAAGCAATTGCTGAAGAAGAACGAATGGCTGCTAAATACATCAATGACACTGAGATTGCCAAGGCTCAGAGAGATTTTGAACTGAAGAAGGCAACATATGATATGGAAGTTCAAGCAAAGGTACGTCAACTTTAAATTGTATACAGTACGTTGTTTATTGTCACTTATATTGTACACAGGCATGACATTTTAATAAAAGTAGTTATAATTTAATTGCATCAAAGTATGATGTTATAAAAATTAGGTGTTTACCAGTACTCATTTGCATATTAAAAAGTAAAAGAGTATTAGTTTGCCAGAAATCAAAATCTGATCATTGGTGTTTTCTAAATACAGTAAAGAATATCATTATAAATACAACCAATAACAATAATGGCAAAACATTTTTTAGGATACCATAAATAATCATTATTGATGTTTGATGTTTTTTCTAAAATTAAAAATATATTTAAAACAGTGACAATAATTGCATTCCTCCAATGAAAATTATTTACAATCCAAATAACTCAATACAATGCTATACATGTTCCTAATATATTAAGTAATACAGTGGAACCTCTGTTGATGACTGTCCCTCTTTATGAATTTTTCGGGTTACGATCCCAATTTTTTTGTACAATTTGACTCGGTGGCCTTCACCTCGCTTGGTGACGAATTTGTTGATACTCATATGGGTTGACCGAGCGCGTGGTTCCTGGCACAGGTGAGGCACGCTTCAGTTTACCAGTGCCTTCCGCCTAGTGCCGATCATGCTTTAATTCTTTGTAAAGAATTTAATTGTTTTTCGGATTTTTTGGTTTTTGAACAAAAGTAATTATTATATATCATACCATGGGTCCCAAGAAAGTTATAGGTAAGGTTCAACCTAAGAAAACAAATGTGAGGATGACGATAGAGGAACATAGGAACGTGGGGAAAAACAAGTGTCTTAGCATTGAGCAACAAGCAATCATTGAGCCACAACCAGGTCCTAGTGGTATGCCTGCAAAAATGTAGGAGAGAGAGTACCCCAGAGAAGTCATCAATGCCTGATGTTATAATGAAAACAGACTCCCCTTCCAAACACTTAACGCTTCTCCTCCTTCCCCCTTTCTCACCGTCTTCCATATGCCAACAAGAGTCGCCAATAAAGGTAAGATATAACGTGTACATACTGTAGTACAAAATATTTGTAGTATTATGTATGACATGTATTTTGAAGTTAATATTTTTGGGAGTGTGGAATGGATTTATTTAATTCAATTTACATTATTTCTCATGGGAAAATTTGTTTCGGTTTACGACCCGTCTCTGGGAACGGATTAAATTCATAAACAAAGGTATACCTGTATTATAAATATTAGTACTACAAGGAAATAAACATACACCACTCAAGGAATTATGTTTTCTTAAGTGTTGCCACTTATTGCTGCAGAAAGGTTACAGTAATTTGCTGAAAAATTACACAGCAGAAAAGTGACCAGCAATACATATACAGTGGAACCTCGAGTGACGAGCAGCTCCAGTTATGAGCATTTCGAGTAACGAGCAAGCCACTCGCAGAAAATATGTCTCGACTGACGAGCTTTCGCTCGATTAACGAACATTCCCACTTGTTCTCGGACACCTCCGATGACAATTTTGTTGTTGGTTCGCAAGACGAGTTTTCCACATGACGAGCTCGGTGCTGGAACGGATTAAACTCATTAATCGAGGCACCACTGTACTCCATTCCACCCCAAAATAACTCAAAAACGAAAAAAACTGTGGGAGAAAGTTGTCATGTCGAGGCAGATAATGTCAGTGGTGGAGTCAATTTCAATTTCTTTCTTTATTATGCACCTCATACCCATCCCGTTGGCGGTGGTGTAAAGGATTACAGAGGCACATCATCGGTGGAAGTGGTCAGGGAAGGCAGGGATTGATAGTTGTGTCAGGAGAGGCAGGTGGTGTCAGTGGTGGAAGTAGTCAGGGAAGGCAGGGAGTGATCTAGTGGTGTTAGGGGAGGCAGATGGTGTTAGTGGTGGAAATGATCAGGGAAGGTAGGGAGTGATAGTGGTGTCAGGGAGGCAGGTGGTGTCAGTGGTGGTGAGCTCTGACCTGAGTTGTCATCTAATTGGCAACACGTGGCTGGCACCTCAATGCTTCACTCACTGTCTGCTTTTCAATAAATTAGCTGAGAAAATGTTACCATTTCAATTGTTTGTAAAACATCGCTCTGTCATATTCCATAATCAAAACGAAGAATTCATAATAAATGGCGGTGCCAGTGGTGAGGGGGATGTATTAGAGAGGGTACGAAGACAGCTAGCTTTTACCTTAGTCAACATTTTTAGGGAGTGTCAGGTGTGGTGAGTCGAGATGCGCCATTCCCTACCACTGATACCACCAGACTTCTGACACCATTTCCTATCATTGATACCACCAGACTTCTCTGACACTATCCCACACCACTGATACCACCAAACTTCTGACACCAGTCACTACCACCAGACTTCTCTGACACAACCCCCTCCTCCCCACCACTGACACCACTCCTCAACATCAATATGAAATTTCATAATGTACACTGTCGTCAGAAGCGTCCAAGAATTTGCGAGAACCAGCACGGGAACACTAGGAAGCCCCACATGGTTGTCTCGTTAACCGAGCGGAAGCTCGTCAATTGAGACAAATTTTCTGCGAGTGGCTCCCTTTTTACCTGAAATGCTCGTAAATGGGGCTGCTCGTCACCCGAGGTTCCACTGTAGTTACCAGGAATTCATTTAGGTAATTTTATCTAAAAGTCTATAAAAACAAAAATGATTTTTAGGTTTAAGAAGTCATTCAGTCATTTCATCATTATTACAGGCACACTCTTCCATTGTCGTAAATTATAATGTTGATTTATCATTACACACTACTGTACTGTCCTGGATTTTATAAGTTATCATGTTGATGTGACGCCTCACTTATATTATTTGTTTCCATAAAAAGCTAATATTATTTTCATCTTTAGAAAGCAGAAGCTGAACTTGCTTATGAACTTCAAGCTGCCAAGACACGTCAAAAGATTAAGGAGGAGCAAATGCAAATCAAGGTAAATTGTACTGAAGCTTCTCAATATGCATGAAGTACTGTGGGTTATCATAGACAAGTGATGTTTCTAATTTGTTACCATATAATGTGTAACCTTTACATTTTTTTATCTGGGGGTGAACTCTTGAAATTGTGGTAATGAAAGAAGGCCACAAGCCACACAAACTTCCTCTTGAGAAATATTTTGGAAAGTTATCTTGAGGGTTATCTTGAGATGATTTCGGGGCTTTTTAGTGTCCCCGCGGCCCGGTCCTCGACCAGGCCTCCACCCCCCAGGAAGCAGTCCATGACAGCTGACTAACACCCAGGTACCTATTTTACTGCTAGGTAACAGGGACATAGGGTGAAAGAAACTCTGCCCATTGTTTCTCGCCGACGTCTGGGATCGAACCCAGGACCACAGGATCACAAGTCCAGCGTGCTGTCCGCTCGGCCGACTGGCTCCCTTTAATACTCCGTGTTCTACTACTAGGATTACTACTACTACTCTATAGTTCTACTTTAATACAACTCCAACCTCCCTGTTCTTGTGTTATTGTTAGAGCCCCTGTGGCAGCCCTGTACTTTTATCATTGTGTGGCTCTTTAGTGCTTTGTCCGAGTCCAGTACGGTCTGTTGTCACAATCTCAGTTCATGGTAGAGTCACCTATGCCAAACCGGCTGCTGGCAAACAAGCAGGATCAGCACTGTCTGTGGCTTAGCCATTCATGTGTTTGCTGTGCATGAAGAGCCCATATTGGTGTATTACCCGTTTCATCTTGAAATCCCCCCCATTTCATTTGAACCTATCCAGTAGCTTAAATTCTTGTTAAGCAACACACTGCGCTGGGTTCCATGAGTTGTGAGGTCCTGGGAAGTAAAGTTTACTCTCATTTTATGCTTTAAATGGCATCTTATGTGCTATCCTCTGTCTTGGCTCTACACTTTGGTCATCCTAATTACCCCTGCTTCCTTCTTCCCTGCCACGTCTATGATAGTGGCTATAATTACATCACCCAGTGTGACTGGCTCTCACTTTTACAAATTCCTCGATACAGCACCTGTAATTACCAATAATGGCACTCATTTCCCTCGCATCTTTCCATTTGAGGCAATTAACTCCATGACTGCCATTGTGATAGTAAGAAAATCTTTGAATCTCAGAGAGAAACTATTGTCCAGGTATACTCCTGGTGGACACATTAACCCCACACCTCTTTGGTAAGGGTACTAGCTCCCTTGGTATTGCTAAAAGTACTTTAGACAATCAAACTCCCAATCTCAGTTCTTCCAAAGGAGGTTAATGTTTGTTCTTCTTTTCCCCTCTATCTTCAAATTTGTTCTTTCAGTGGCTTTCTGAAAATATAATTTATTGAGCCAATTACACTTTTGGCCTCCGAGACAATTTGCCACTTCCCGGTACTCCAACCCGTTCTCGCAAATTTAATAAGTCAATATTGACTTATTAAATATGTGCATAGGTGACATACTTAACATAATAGATACCCTTAAAAAGATTCATAGAAAACACCGACCTTACCTAACCTACTTAGTATGTTAAGATAAGCATCTTATTGCTTCGTAATTACAATTATTACCTAACCTATAATAGGTATAGGTTAAGTAATAATTGTAATTACGAAGCAATAAGACGCTTATCTTAAGATACTAACAAGGTTAGGTAAGGTCGGTGTTTTCTATGAATCTTTTTAAGGGTATCTATTATGTTTAGCATATCACCTATGCACATAGTTAATAAGTCAATATTGACTTTACGAATTTGCGAGAACGGGTTGGGTACTCAGCATGTCGTTTGGAAGACAAATACCTGAGGGCTTGGCTCTGGCTCTGCCTGTGTTCTACCCTAAGTAAATCCTGTGCTGTCATTATTTTTCTTTATATTTCTGTTTATTCTTTTTATGTTGACAGCACCAAGCAAATGAATGGAGCATACAAGACATAGAAAGTAGACTAATTAAATGCCCCTTCTCTGGGCACTGTCTCAGTAGCTCCATATTCCTGACTTGTTTCTTCTGGGCTCCAATCTAGTCAATGTATTAGTATAAAAAGCAAGATTTTCATGTAATTTACAATAATAAAAAGCTGGTGTAGTAATATGTTAAACAGGCAGATGTTTAACACAAATCAACTGTGCTTCGCAGGTTATAGAAAGAGCTCAAGAGATTCTTATCCAAGACCAGGAAATTCAGCGTCGAGAGAAGGAGCTAGAGGCCACAGTGAAACAGCCAGCAGACTCCGAAAAGTTTAAGTAAGTACCTGTTCTGTAATGGTAGCACATATTAGTAAAAGATTCAGTTTTTGTGGTATGTACTGTAACATCTTAAGAAAGTGTTTTGGCTTTTTAGGTAATTATGTTGTCTATTCACAATAAAAATGGAGAATATTAGTTATCTAGCTGGGAGATATAAATTTACTATGTTTTAACTTTATTAAGAAAATAATGATGATGCCTTTCTTACTTCTAATACAGCACCTTCATCTGTAATAGGATTATAAAATGACAGCAAATTCAAGAATTTAATTTACATTACTATACTGTACTGTGTTTGTTTGTACAATGTTGGTCAATATTTTTGATCGATTGTATTTTATGGGGGAGCCCCCTACGGCTCCCTGGAGCTATCCAGGCTGATATGGATACCCTAACTATTTTGCATCTGACATCATTTTGCGTCTGAGGAGCTGACTTGGGGGGGGGGGGCCTTGGGGCCCGTTGGACCCCGCCTGGGTTTTCCGACATTCCAAGCCGGGCTTACTGTTACAAGGAGTGGGGTTTTCCTTTCCCCCTCCCCTCCTCTGCATACAAGTTGCCTTTGGGCGTCGGCTCCATCCTTCTGTAGGGCGTTTTCTTAGCTTTCCCACCTTTCTTCTCTAGGACCTGTGTTCTGCATCATGCCGCAGTCATTTTCTATTGTCTCGGGTCCTGCATGACCATTGGTCATGGATGCTAATGGGTGCGTCTGTGCCTCTGTGATTTTGTGCTTGTTGGTCTAGGTTCTTGAAGGTTCGAGTGGGTCTTCGACGCTTCTGTATTATTGGAACATCTGTCACCTTCCGGTGGGGTTTACCTCCAGTCCTTTTTAGGACTCATTGGTACTCTTCTGTCCTTTTTCTTTTCTTTCGTTGCTATTTCCGTTTTTTAATGGTCGCCTCTTTCTGTCCTTTGTCTCAACATTACTAATAATGGTTCTATATTCCTTGTTGGCACCCAGTGGCTGAGCGGACAGAACACTGGACGCGTGATCCTGTGGTCCCGGGTTCGATCCCAGGCGCCGGCGAGAAACAATAGGCAGGGTTTCTTTCATCCTAATGCCCCTGTTTTCTAGCAGTAAATAGGTACCTGGGAGTTAGTCAGCTGTCACGGGATTAGTCAGCTTCGGATTGCTCCGGTTTTGTTGTTCCTTCTGCACCGTTCACGGGTTGTCTAGGGCATTGTTCACTTCTGGCCTGCTCATGCTCCACTTGAGTCATCCTGCTCTGGGGCAGGGTGCTCTTTTCTCTCTTTCCTTCGGTTTGTTGTGGCCCCCTTCGGTTCCAGAGGGGTCCCTGGGGTTGTTGCTGCTTGGTTGGTGGGCTGGGGTGCTTCTTCTCGTGTCCGGTTACGGCTCTCCGCTGTTCTTTGTGCACCACGGCCTCTGTGGCCGGAGGCTGCGCTTTGGGTTGATCCGGTTTCCCTTCTTCCCTGTTCTTGGGTTCAGGTCTCTCAGGTCGTCCGTTGGGTTCTTCTGTCTAGCTGGCCTGCGGTCTCTCCCCATGCCCTTGACGTTCGTAGGTTTGCTGCACTTGCTGCCATCCTTAGTGGCATGTCTTGGGCTGACATTCAGGCACGGGGTTGTTTTGGCAGTTGCACTGGGTCCTGGCTGCGCACTCCCTCGGGTATGTTCCTGGGCCTAGTCGGGCCTGTGTCGCCTTGGGTCGGCTGTTGCAGCCTGTTGTCTCAACTTCGTGTTGTGGTGTAAACACCAACCGCCTCCCGGATGCGTCCCTCTGTTTTCGTCTTTGGTGAAGTAGCTCCGGGGAGCCGGAGGGGCTCCCCCCAGAAAACCAGCGTTGAATGTATTGAAACGCCATTTTCTGGATAATCCCTACATCCCTCCAGTCGGCATTTTTTTTTTTTTTCGCGTTTTTGATATCCAACCTCAGAACTGAAGTGTGGATCGCCAGTGCGAGGGTCTGGGGCTTCCCCTTCCCTCTCCTGGGGAGAGGGGGAGCTACACAGACATGCGGCATAGCTCGTGTGACATCATGTTTGATCATTTTTCTTTTGGGAAGTTCTGTCCACTCTTTTGGCAATTTTCGTTGTTTTAACCAGAATCGGGGTTTGTTTTGTGGCGCTTACCTTTCTGGGTGCCTGTCCTGGTCGATGGCATATATAGAATGCTCCAAATCACATGTGCATTTCTATGGGCCATAAGCTCCTCGTGCCTCTGTAAGGGGGCCAGGTTCTGGCTCGTAGTCCCCGGTAGGCCTAGAACTCCACCCACATCGATAGATGCAAAATAGTTAGGGTATTCATATCAGCCTGGATAGCTCCGGGGAGCCTCTGGGACTCACCCAGAAAATAGTGTTTCATTATATTCAACACTGGTTTTTTCACTTCACTGTATGGAAAATAGTAAGAGTTGAAGTAACCAGAAAATTTCAAATTTGATAGTATCATGCAATAGACTTCAAAACAAAATACTGTATCTGGATATTACCAGGTATTCCTATATTGTTTATAGCAGGCATATTCTACAATCATTTTGCAACCTGGATTAAAATGAGCTAGAATACACCAAAATGACCTCAAGAATACACTGTCAAAAAAAGCAGCAGTGTGATGGGTTAGACATATATCGGTTAATGTGGCACATAATCCTGATCCTCAGGTTGGAGAAATTGGCTGAAGCTGCTCGCACCAAGACCATGCTGGAGGCCGAAGCCGAGGCTGAAGCCATCCGAGTCAAGGGTGAAGCAGAGGCATATTCTGTGGAAGCCAAGGCCAGAGCTGAAGCCCTCATCATGATGCAGAAGGCTGAAGCACAGAAGGAGTACAAGGAGGCTGCCATGTTGGAAATGTTCCTGGAAACCCTGCCTAAGGTATGTTGCTCTATACATTTGACATGAAATGAAGTTACTTTTAAAGTTTTTCTATAGTTATACTCAAGTAAGAAAAATGTTAAATGTTAAAAAAAATTTGGCCCCCCCCCCTCCCCACCTGAATCTAAAGAAATTTTAAAATAGTACATTTTTATCCCAAATCCAAAAAAAGATTCCCATACGAAACGGTTTGTTAGATCTCGTGGTTGCCACTGTGTAGGGCAGAGCCACAGAAGGGCATCTGTTTCCTAATGGTTGTAACTGAAGGTTGTTTTATGATGATTTAGTGATGCACTTAAAATAATATTCAACTTACGGTAAAGGACTACATCACCAATTATGAAGGTTACATATTTGGGAATTGGTATAAAATGCATGTCTGTGATGCATGAGTACCTGACCTGTTTATGTTGAAAGTGAAAATGCATAGCATTCGACTAAGAAGACTTCATTCATCCTTTTGGTTGCAGCACTTCTGCTTCAGCTCCTCATTTTCTTTAGAAAAATTACAAAAAATATAATTTTATATACAGAAAAATATAGTACTGGACCTGTGTATGCTCTCTCCAGTTGTAAGTTACAATAATTAAAATTTTGACATAATTTACAAAAATACATCCTACAAAAATTTTAATTTTCTAATAGAAAATGTGGTCTAATTATCTTGATCCTGTACCAGGTCACAAGTGTTCCTAAGGCATAAAATTATAATTATGAATACTATCAATAAACATAATTGCCAGATACATGTAATATTATTTGAATCAACAGTACAGTATTATGGTATTCATAATGATCAGCGAGTCTTCAGTAGGAACACTATACCTGAAGGATTTAGATTTACTGCACGAGGCAAACACTTTGTCTCCCCTTTAAATGGCAGTCGCCACTGGGGCCCAAATTCCTGTTCTGGAGCCTACATATCTGGACAAATATTACAAGATTGTCTGCAGTTTACCTGTAGTCAGTTTCAAGAGTTACGGAGCCAGATTCACGAAGCAGTTATGCAAGTACAGAGGAACCTCGGGTGACGAGCAGCCCCATCTATGAGCATTTCAGGTAACGAGCGAGCCACTCCCAGAAAATTCATCTCGATTGACGAGCTTCCGCTTGGTTAACTAGTAAACCACATGGTGCCTCCTAGCATTCCCGCTGGTTCTCAGAAGCCTGAGACGACGTTGTTGTTTCGCAAGACTAGCTTTTCACATGCCGAGCTCGGTGCCGGAACAGATTAAATTCATTAACCGAGGCACCACTGTACTTATGAACGTGTACATCTTTCCTCAATCTTTGACAGCTTTGGTTACATTTATTAAACAGTTTACAAACATGAAAACTTTCCAGTCAACTGTTGTTATTGTTATAAACAGCCTCCTGATGCTTCAGAGATCATTAACAGTTTAATAATTGTAAACAAAGCACCAAAGATTGAGAAAAGATGTACAGGTTCTTAACACTTTCGCGCTAACCGGACTCACCGGTGAGTCCTGTTTCGTCTAACGCTAACGCATAGTGGACATAAAGTTATGTCCTCTTTTAAAATATTTGTATAAAATTCAATTTTTATCCGATTTACTTTGGGTTTGTTTCAAACTGCGCGCCATGAGGCTCTCTTTCTCACCATCAGGCTGCATGGTACAATAAGTTCATGAAAGGTGTGGACCACTTCGATCAAATGGTATTATGTCCCAAACGGGTTGCAGGTGGGTGACTTTAGCCGTTTATACTGGTAATGCTTCCCCCATATCATGTATTATATGCATATGTCTGTTTAGGGAATTTTATTCCGATCAATGTACAACCAAAAATAACTGTGTGCAACAAGTATAAACTTGACAAACATAACAAAAGTAAAAACATTTCGTGTGTATTTGACGCTCACTGATATGTTCCAGCGTTGTTTTATATTTGGCGCTATTCTATGTTACGCTTTGTTGATCTTTTTTACCTATGGGCTCATAGAACATTCTATTGCGAACACATTGACACAAAAATGAATGACGTACATAGAAAATTAATGTCATGAGAGTGAAATAAGTATAAACTTTCAAAGCGCCGTGCGTCGTCCCGTCACCGATACCGGGTAACAATTTCACCACTTCCCACACTCTTGCGGGCGGGCCGCATCATTATTCTACGCTTATATTCATATCACCGTATTGGGAATTTCATTGCGAGTCCATTGATACCAAAATTAACGCTATAGAACAAGTGTGGAGGTGATAAGAATCCCAAGAGTAAAAACATTTTGTTGCTGTTGGGCGCTCACGGCGAGTCATCTTCGTAGTTATTTATTTGGTGCTGGTATGCCTATACGTTTCGTGACTTTTTTTACTAATGTTCTTCTAGAGAATTTTATTGCGAACACGTTGGTACCAAAATGAAATACGTAGCTCGAGAACTAAGGTCATGAGAGTAAAAAGAGTATACACATTTTTGTTTTTACGCTTACGCGGCAAAACGCTCTGCGCACTTACGGTTGGCTGAGTGACCTTCGCGGAGAGCGCGAAAGTGTTAAGTGCTTGCGTAGCTGCTTCATGAATCTGGCCCCTGGTCTCCAAGCCCTGCTGGAGACCAGGTTTGTCTGGTAATAACTTGATCAGTAAGGTTGTTGTTGCTAGCAACAGCTTGGAGACCCATGTATCAATTACAGACTAGTCATTCCAAAACTTCCTGCAAGAATTTTACCAAATTAATTTGTTAAAACTCGTTAGAATGTGACTGACTATTTATCTTTTGTGGTATAGTGTGCATGATATAATGAATGGATCTGGTGCTTTGTGTTATTAGTACTTGTGTATGTTATGTATGTATGTTTCTCTACATCATTGTCGTATCACTTTTATCAGGTCAAAGGATTTGAAATGCTTTTTCAGCAGTCAAGCAAAGAACATTGAAGCACATGAATAGATATATGAGGCAAAGTAAACAAACTACTAGCCTATATCTCGTTACCAAATCTAGTGTAGCAAGAAATAATGAATATGGTGGATGTACACTGCTAATGAAGACAGACGTACTCTATGTCCTCTATACCACTGTACAATACCACCAATTAATGCTGTCCCTGAGACTTGTACTATTGAATAGCTTCTCTCTACCTTCATCTTATTGGTTTTAATTCTTGCGTAGAATAGTGAGAGGGACTCGGACAAAATGAAGGAAATTATTTAAACAGAAAAATCACGGCCAATTTTTCATTATTGGTACGTGTGTACTCACCTAGTTGTACTCACCTAGTTGTGTTTGCGGGGGTTGAGCTCTGGCTCTTTGGTCCCGCCTCTCAACCGTCAATCAACAGGTGTACAGATTCATGAGCCTATCGGGCTCTGTCATATCTACACTTGAAACTGTGTATGGAGTCAGCCTCCACCACATCACTTCCTAATGCATTCCATTTGTCAACCACTCTGACACTAAAAAAGTTCTTTCTAATATCTCTGTGGCTCATTTGGGCACTCAGTTCCCACCTGTGTCCCCTTGTGCGTGTTCCCCTTGTGTTAAATAGACTGTCTTTATCTACCCTATTGTGTGTGTGTGTGTGTGTGTGTGTGTGTGTGTGTGTGTGTGTGTGTACTCACCTAATTGTACTCACCTAATTGTGCTTGCGGGGGTTGAGCTTTGGCTCTTTGGTCCCGCCTCTCAACTGTCAATCAACTGGTGTACAGATTCCTGAGCCTACTGGGCTCTATCATATCTACATTTGAAACTGTGTATGGAGTCAGCCTCCACCACATCACTTCCTAGTGCATTCCATTTATTAACTACTCTGACACTGAAAAAATTCTTTCTAACGTCTCTGTGGCTCATCTGGGTACTAAGTTTCCACCTGTGTCCCCTTGTTCGTGTCCCACCCGTGCTGAAGAGTTTGTCTTTGTCCACCCTGTCAATTCCCCTGAGAATTTTGTAGGTGGTTATCATGTCTCCCCTTACTCTTCTGTTTTCCAGGGATGTGAGGTTCAGCTCCTTTAGCCTTTCCTCGTAGCTCAATCCTCTCAGTTCCGGGACGAGCCTGGTGGCATACCGCTGAATCTTCTCTAACTTTGTCTTGTGTTTAACTAGGTATGGACTCCAGGCTGGGGCTGCATACTCCAGGATTGGTCTTACATAAGTGGTATACAGGGTTCTGAAAGATTCCTTACACAAGTTTCTGAAGGCAGTTCTTATGTTGGCCAGTCTAGCATATGCCGCTGATGATATTCTTTTGATGTGGGCCTCTGGGGTCAGGTTCGGTGTGATATCAACCCCAAGATCCTTCTCTCTATTTGATTCTTGCAGGATTTCCCCTCCCAGATGATACCTTGTGTTCAGCCTCCTGCTCCCTTCGCCTAATTTCATCACCTTACACTTTCCCGAGTTGAACTTCAGCAGCCATTTTCTAGACCATTCCTCCAGTTTATCCAGGTCATCCTGTAGTCTCTGTCTATCTTCATCCGTCTTGATTCTTCTCAGAATTTTTGCATCATCAGCAAACATCGAGAGGAATGAGTCTATACCCTCTGGAAGATCGTTCACATATATTAGAAACAGGATGGGTCCAAGTACTGAGCCCTGTGGCACTCCGCTGGTGACATCTCGCCACTCTGATGTCTCCCCCCTCACCGTTACTCGCTGTTTCCTGTTGCTTAAGTACTCCCTTATCCACTGGAGCACCTTCCCTTTTACTCCTGCCTGTTGCTCCAACTTTTTTAACAGCCTTTTATGGGGTACTGTGTCAAAGGCTTTTTGGCAATCCAGGAAAATGCAGTCGGCCCACCCTTCTCTTTCCTGCCTAATTTTCGTTGCCTGGTCATAAAATTCTATTAAACCTGTGAGGCACGATTTACCATCTCTGAACCCATGTTGGTGGTGCGTTACAAAGTTATTTCTCTCCAGATGCTCTACGAGCCTTTTCCTCACGATCTTCTCCAGCACCTTGCATGGTATACAAGTTAAGGAAACTGGCCTGTAATTCAGTGCCTCTTGCCTGTCACCCTTTTTGTATATTGGGACCACGTTAG